TGCCATGAGGGTCTAGTGGGATGGCCCATTAGTACATAGTACTTTTTGTTTTGTTTTGTTTTTTTGTTTGTTTGTTTGTTTTTCGAGACAGGGTTTCTCTGTGGCTTTGGAGGCTGTCCTGGAACTAGCTCTTGTAGACCAGGCTGGCCTCAAACTCACAGAGATCCACCTGCCTCTGCCTCCCAAGTGCTGGGATTAAAGGCATGCGCCATCAACGCCCGGCCCATAGTACTCTTGAGTTGAGTTCACATCCCAACACCCATGGAAGGTGGCTCATAACAACCTATAATTCCAGATGCAGGGATTCTGAGTTCCTTTTCTAGCTACTCACATGCAAATAGCTCCCCCCCAACACACACACAGAAACACATGGACATATATATAGTTAAAAATAAAAGGTTTTTTTTTTATTAAGAAGATTTCATGAATGTGAGAAGAACCCAGGCTACAGAGTGACGCTGTGTTGGGGTCAACACTGGGTTGGAGAAACGGCTCACTAGGTAAATCCCTTGTCACACAATCATGAAAACGTGAGCTGGGATCCCCAAAACTCATATAAAACGGAACACAATCATGCTTGCATATGTGTAATCCCAGTACTCCTCCAGTGAGATGGGCGGGGGAGAGGAGAGCCCCTAGAAGCTCAGGCCAGCTGCCCTGGTGTGTGCACTGGCAAACAAAAACCCTTCACACAGGGTAGAAGACAAGGACCACGCTCCGGCTGCCACACGCATGCTGGCACCTGTGCATGCCGCCCCCTTCATACAGACATGCATACATATAAGAGAAATATTTCACTTACCATAATGATCTCCAGGTCTGTTCTTTTTTCCTAAAAGTACTATGATTTCATTCTTCTTTAGAACAGAACAAACTCCCATCTGTGTATTTTCCTTATCCATCCATCTGTTGATGGACAGGTTTCATTCCCTGTCGATAGTGAAGAGTGCAGCAATAAAATAGAATGTGTGGGAATCTCTCTGCTGTGTTGAGTTAGGCCCCTTACATAAGCACATACCCAAGAGAAGTAGAGCTCGATCATATGGTAGTTTCTCGAGGACCTTCCACCCTGATTCCCATAGTGAGATAGGATGATTGTCAGACAGTCAGAGCACAGGTTAGCTCATCCTTGTTCCTGCCTGTGTCTTGATCGCCTGGGGCAAGCCTGAAGTCCCTGGGATGGCACAGTTAGTAGCGATCGGGTCATTCAGCTCCTTTCCTCAGAGACAAAAAGTTTCAGAGGAAGCACTCCCTCTCTTTCACACGGAATAGTTAGAGAATAAAGGAGTTAAAGGAACCGGGAGCCCTTGTTTCCCAAGCCTTTTCCTTGTGGGTCTGTAGAGAGTAGGAGGTAAATTCCATATTGGTCCGAATCACTGCCCCAAAGGGACCCTGATGCTGGTGAAAACTTGTAAGGTAACTGGCATTCTCTCTAACCAGTTTGGAACTTATTATTAATCCAGGGACAATAGGGGAACTATCTGATTTGACTTAAGATTACGTCTCATGGATATCTTTTAGAGCAGTGGTTCTCAATCTTCCCAGCACTGCAACCCTGTAATACTGTTCCTCATGCTGTGGTGACCCCCAACCATAAAATTATTTTGTTTCTACTTCATAACTTTAATGAATGATAATGTGAATATCTGGTATGCAACCTACAGGTTGAGAATCATTGTTCTAGAGCATCAAGAATGTTTCCCTAAAAGTTTTAATTCATACATTTATGCCTTCAATCCACTTGCTTCATTTGTAAATACTGTGTGAGGCAAGGATCAATTTCTTGGCTTTCTGTAGGATAGTCCACGATTCAACACTACTTGTTAATGGTGTCCTTCCCATCTCTTTAAAACTAGTTACTGTTTAATTTATTATCATCATTAATCATCATTTTATTTTACGTGTATGGGTGCTTTTTCTGCATTTATGTCTGTGCACCATATATATATATATATATATATATATATATATATGCCTGATGCCTATAGAGTTCAGAAAAAGGTATCAAGTGCCCTAGAACTGGTGTTACAGACAGTTGTGAGCCATCACGTGGGTGCTGGGAATTGCACTTGGGTCCTCTGCAAGAGCAGCAGTACTCTTGGTGATCGAACCATCTCTCCACATTTATTCATTTATTTGTTTATTTAGAGAGTGAATGCATGTATGCTACAGTATAAAAGTAGCTCTCAGTAAATGGTAAATGAATCAGTGAGCTTAAGATCTGTCTTTTCTGGTTTGGTTTCCTTTGAATGGAGAGCCAGGTGGAAACAAGACTTTCTCAGAGGCCCTGATGAAGGGACAATGGGAACACTAGCTCTGAGTCTTTGCCTGGCCCACAGTTGGCAAGGCTGCAGCTTGGACTAGGGCCGGGGTCTTGAAGGAGTTAAGGTTTCAGCTCCTGGAACCCCAACTTTTCCCTCTGAAGGCCTGTGCTCATCAGTTTTGAGGCAGCTGTATCTGAGGTATCCAGGGTTCTCTTTGAAAACATTGTTTGACTTAGTTTTCTGCTGACCTTGGCCGGTTCTCCTCTTTAAAATAGTATATAAGATGATAATAAAGTTGCTTTACATTAACTCTCAGATCATACAAGGCATCCTGGTCCCAGATCTGCTTTCTGTGTTTTCTCATCCCCAGTCCTCCACCTTGCAGTTGGAGAGGCTGATTCCTGCAGGTTTGGGTTGCAATATGACTGGGGACACAGGCTTTTCAATACCATGGGATCTCTGTTGTCACATTGCTGTCATTTTTCAGATTGCCCTAAATCCGCACCCCCTTTTATTTACCTTAGTATCTCACAGATCACTGCCTTAAAATGTGTTTTTTCCATTCTCACGATTCTTCCACACTTTCCTGAATTATCTTTTAAATGTGATATTTATGTGTATGCACAAGAATATGTACAGCACATACTGAATTATTAAGCAACTTACGAATGCACAAGGCCACGCCCACCTGAGTGACAGCAGTATTGGCTTGTTGCCTCTAATTGTCACTCCCGTTGTCTTACATCTCTGCCAACATCTAAGAGGTAATTGTTCTCCTGAAGTTTGGGCTCCTAACCCGCTTGGTTTTCTTTTCAGATGTAGGTTTATCGCATGTAGGAGTATTCCAGGAATACATATAGCCTAGATTTACTGGGCTCTGAATTCCACAAGATAGCTTTTTACTTTGTTACATTCTTCCAACTGGACAGTTTCATTCATCATCACGCTTTTTTTTCTGTTTGTTTTGTTTTGTTTTGAGACATGGTCTCACTCTGTAGATCAGGCTGTCCTCAAACTCCCAAATGCAGGAATTAAAGGCAGGTGCCACCACGCCCGGCTTCAGCATCCTGTTTCTAAGATTTACACTGGGCATGGCTGTATGGCTGTGATTCATTAATAAGATGGATGAACACAGGGAGATCACTCTTTATGAGACTTTTTTTCTTGCTTCCCAGTGCTTGTCTAGATTGTTGGGTTCTTGCTGCTTAGGACAACATTACTTCTAACTCTGTTGTCATGTCCCTTGGCCATGTATGCAGTGAACTTTCTGTCTGTGTTGGACTTTAGAAAATAACACCAGATTGTTTCCAAAGTGTCTTGTCTATTTGCTCTCAAGCCAAGAAAATATAACGATTTTCATTGGTCCATGGCTTCTCCAGCAGTTGTCATTATCAATGTATGTCTTGCTCCTTTTCTTCACTAAATGTCAACCTGCGTCTCCCCTTTGTTATGATATGTGTGTCCTCAGGAATAGACTGTAAGAGTGTTCTATAAGTTTGTTACCATTTATGATTCCATTTCTGTGAAATATCTAGGTGTCTTTTTCTTGTTTAAAAATACTGATTATTTGAATTTTTCTTTGTTAAAGTTATTGTATTCGATTCTAGATTTCTTCTCAATTATAGAAATTACTAATTATTTTCTCCAAATTTATGGCCCCCTTTTCTGTTTTTTTTTAAATAGATCTGTATAAGTAGAAGTTCCTAAATCACAATGAAGCTCAATTTACCATTTTTTCTATTGTAATTAGAAATTTTATCTTGTTTTTAAAAAAATATGACCTGAGCTTGGCAGTGGTGGTGAACACCTTTAATCCCTACACTCAGGAGGCAGAGGCAGGTGAATATTTGCCAGTTCAAAGCCATCCTGATCTTCAGAGTGAGTTCCAGGACAGCCAGAGCTACACAGAGAAGCAATGTCTCAAAAAAGTAAAACCAAAACCAAAAAAAATATAATCTGAAATAACGATTTTTCCCTAAAGGATTAAAAGGCTTCATCTTTCACATGTAAAGTCAACTAGAATTCATTTTTTAGACATGGTATGAGGTTGGCATCCAAATTAAATTTTTTCTCATGAATAAACAATTATCCTCTAAGAACGTTTATAAGAATATTTATTTTGGCTTAGAGAAATAGTCACAATATGTGTTGCTAAAAGGACAAACATGTAATGCAACAAAATATGTGAAATCCAGAAAACACTAAATGTAACAAAAATTATGCATATATATATATATATTCACAAACATAAAATTTAAAACAAAGACACTAGAATAACCTATGCCCAAATAACAACAGTAATCATCTTTGGATGGTGGGGTTATTAGGGATTTTGTTTATTTCTTTTGTTGTTCTCTCCATTTTCCAAATGCTGTGCCTTGACCCTATATTAGAGTCCAAATAGAGAGAAATAGCTTTGTGTTTATGGTGATAACAGAGTTCAAAGCACCTTAGAGAGAAACCATCCATTGAAAGATACTGTTAATATCTTCCAACCCAACTTTTACAAAAGCTTTTTCATTTCTGAGATTAAAAAAGAAAAGAGCATGTATGTGGGTTGTGTAGTAAGTTCCAGCAGAAAATAAAAGAGAACTAAATTCTGCACCTTGGGCAAATCTTGAGAATAGTCATATAAAACCCTACCCCGTGCTGTTTGCTCTTCGGGCATGTTAGACAGACTAGACTGTGTTCTCGTGTGTATCATTGCTGATTTAATTATTTCTTTTTGCCTAACAGCAGATAATGAAGAGACTCATAAAACGGTACGTTTTGAAAGCACAAGTAGACAAAGAAAATGATGAAGTGAATGAAGGTAAGCATCTCCAGTTGAGAAACATCTTTCTTCATAGCTAAATTAAGGAACATGGGGAGCTGAGACAGAGGTATGGCTGTAAGTTCAAGGCTGCCTTGGGCTACATTGTACTAGGTCAATCAGAATGGCATAGGAAAACACTGTCAAGAAAAGATTTTTAAGCCCCAAACTATAAATAAAGATTAGAGGGTAGTACCACAGCACAGATCTAGAGTCAGAAAGAAATAAACCTGGAGCTGGAGAGGTAACTTAGAAGTTAAGTGCAAGTGCTACTCTTACAGAGGACCTGAGTTAGATTCCCATCATCCGTGTTAGGGTAGCTCACAACTGCCTGTAACTCCAGCTCCAGGGACTCTCCAATGCCTCTGACCTCTACAGGCATCTGTACTCATTTGCAGACACCGACACACACACACACACACACACACACACACACACACACACACACACACACACTCAATTAAAAATAAATAGAAATTCCTTTCCAATCCAGATATATCACCACTAGAACTGTCTGTCTTGATAAGAGAAAGGCCAACTTAGCAAACCATGTTGATGAATGGGCTTTGAAGTCATTTCCTGGTGAGCACAATGAGTCCCTTTCAAACCTGTATCAAACAAGTGGAATATATTAATAGGAAAAAATCTATTAATATAAAACGAAGGACTAGGAAAAATACCCTATTATGCTGGCCTATAAATAGGCTCAAGAAGGTAGTATTGGAATGGAGAATGTAGAAACAGAAATCTTGTCATTTGTTCCATAGCCTCCTTTGGAATACAGAGTTAGCTAATATACATGGGAGGAGTCATGTGACTATAATAGTGGCAAAAATGGTCAGCATTTGAACCCTTGCCCCAAAAGGGAAATTAGTGAAAATCAGTTTTGAAGAAGGTTGACTACGTAGAATGTAAGCATATTTGATGAGGTAATTCTTTTTTATCCAGGAGGCCAAAGTCCAGGGCTGAGTCCTATATTCAGTGGGTTCAAAAGCAAAGAAAGAGGAACTAGGGATAAAGGAACTCACTGTTGGGGAACCTTCACTCAGCCCACGAGACTTGTTTCAATCCAGACCACATTATTCCTCTATTTTTCCATTTGCCACAGGAAATACTTTTTTATTTTTTATTTTTGCCACAAAATGAATCTACAAATGATTGGTGTATAGTATTGAATAAGAGTTAAGACTTTCTTAAAATGAAAAGATTTTTATGGTATCTTTAGTTTTTTTTTTTTTTGTGATGTTAAGGATTGAATCCACGGCTCCATACATGCTAAGCACATGCTCTACTACTGAGTTACAGCTCATTTGATGTTTTATATAATAAAAAATCATACATACTGGATCATGTAACACATGCCTGTCATTCCACCACTCAGATGGTGGAAGCAAGAATATCAGGAGTTCAAGGCCAGCCTTAGCTACACAGTGAAGTGGAGGCTTGCGTTGTATGAGACCCTGTCTCCATAATTATAATTATAAATCATACAAATTATATTGTAAAAGTATCATAAAACTACCTGATGAAAGACCACCCTACATTGCACCCCATAAGTATTTACAATCACTATTTGTCAGTTGAAAATAAAAATTATTAATAAAGGGAAATATCCTCAAAGATATGTTTTTCTTTTTTTTTGGGGGGGGTTGTTTGGATTCTTTAATTATCTTACTTACAACTTTTAACTCTTACCACCCTTATGACTGTCTTGAGAACATTTTTCTCATACAAGTCAGTGCTGCGGGTGGGTCGGGCAGCTTCCCTGTGCTTTCTTATGCCAGAGATATGTTTTTCATACTAGTCTATTGTTTTTTAAAAAAAGATGAAGTCTGAGTTTCATGGATTATCAGGATGGATTTTTAGAATCTAGGTAATTTTCTGCCTCTAAATTTACTTTTCAATGCCAATGGCTTCTCTACATCACAATTAAATGGCTCCTCAGAACAGTCCTGTTTTCCATTGTAATGCATGTATGCTCAGAGTACTGCCCATCTGGATTCTGGGAGGAGCTGGGTTTTAATGTCTCAGCCCTGTCTCTCCTGGGGAGTCTGGAGTCTGCGTGCTGCAGTGGGCATCCTCTGCTCCTGACACCCTGGTTTCATCTGCTCCTGACACCCTGGCCTCTATACCAGACAGACCCAGCGCTGTTCATGCCATATCTAATAAACAGCTCCCTTTGTATCCTTCATTTCTCTTCACCAAATTTGACTTTAATTTTACTTCCATGTATTTGCACTTTAATTCAGTTCATTTTTAGAAGAGCAATGGAAGCTACCAGATGTAAGAATGTCAACCATCGCCAAAAGGGAACAAAAGGACTCCTTGTGTGTAGCAAGGGGACAGCATGATTGTTTTGAGGAGGGGTTGTTTGCTTTTGTTTTTGGAGATTGGGTCTCTCTGAGTAGAATTTGCTATGTAGCTCAGGCTGGTCTCAAACTCACAGTCATCTACCTGCCTCTCCCTCCCAAATGTTGGAATTAAAGGCATGCACCATCACGCATGTGTGATTTTATTGTTTAACCCTATGAAAACACATCCTTTGCCTTAACATTGTGAACAATGTTGTAGTTGGCTAACCCTGCACCCTAAAGAAAAGCTGGGCCATAACCTAGGGGCAGGGCACTTGCCTGACCTACACAGGGTGTGGATTTGATCTTAGATAACAAAAGGCACTTCTTGAAGCTGAGTTTTACTATTACAGACACAGATTATCTTTAGAGTTTTATCAAAGGTTGGTATGCCTTTAAAGTCTGGGTTTTCTCTTCCTTCCTTCCTTCTTTCTTTCTTTTTCGTTCTTTCTGTTTTGTTTTTTGCTTTTTGAGACAGGGATTCTCTGTATAACCCTGACTGTCCTGGAACTCACTTTGTAGACCAGGCTGGCCTTGAACTCACAGAGATCCTCCTGCCTCTTCCTTATGAGTGGTGGGATTAAATGCCTGTGCCACCACTGTCCTGCTAAGGCTAGCTTTTCTTGAACACCTTAAAAGATAATTTGAAATACCTACCTTGGCAACTTTGTGAAGCAAACATATTCGGGTTGAGTGAATTTCACTTTGTCTTTTTTGTCTAAATATGAAGAGCAAATCACCATTTACACATATTTTTTAATACAAATACTCTAGGTGAACTGAAAGAAATCAAGCAAGATATCTCCAGCCTTCGTTATGAACTTTTGGAAGACAAGAGTCAAGCAACGGAAGAATTAGCCATCTTGATTCATAAACTCAGTGAGAAACTGAACCCCAGTGTGCTGAGATGTGAATGAGACAGCAACTCGCAGTCAAGCTCTGACTATAGCACAAACGTGGGCAATAATATTCCTAAGTATGAAATACTTGAAAAACCATGGTGTAAAGCTCTAGTGTTAACTACGCTTATCATACACAGCTTTAAAATTAAGCTAGGTGGTAATGATTCCCATTACATGAAAATGATTTCAGCAATTGACCTCAACATTACAAGCAGTGACATGCTATTGTATTTAGAAACCCAGTATTAATGTCACTGACATGTTTGTCATTTTTGTCTTATTACCTGTTGGCCTCTAGGAAGCTGTAAGCTCCTTGGGGGACAGGGACAACATCAATCTCATCTTTATGTCTCCAACATTTAGTGCAGTGCCTGGTACATAGTAGGTGCTTCGTAAATGTTGAAACCAACTGGCCTGAACAGCCAATAGCATCCATGAACAGATGAAAGACCATTGCGATGTAGCATACCCTCTCATCCAAATGCGGAAGCAATTTTTTAAAAGTAGAAACTGAGAAAGTTTTACAAGGAGCTATGACTTGTTGAGATTTTTCTTAGACTTTTAGGCATCACTGACAATCCTAAGACATTTGAAACTCAAGTGAAGACTTTAACAGTGAAAAGAACTAATTGGGAATACAGTTATACTACGTATTTAAGTTTCATAGGATTGTTCAAAAACAACCATTAAAGATTTTTCTAAAATAGATGTTTGTGTCCATTCTCTTTGCATTTGTGGTTTGATGATGTGAACTTAGTCAATAAAGAGTGTTTTTTTTAAAGTTGGGGGTTATTGTAGACTTTATTTTGTTGTAATCTTCGAATGTGTACCTCTGATGTTTTAATGCTAAATAAGACCAACAACTGACTCCTTATCTAGCCTTCTGCTCCTTTCCGGTTTTTGGATTCATGGGGAGTATCTTAGTTATTATTCTAGTGCTATGAAGAGACAGCCCGAGGTCTGGGGAAATGAAAGAAGACGCCCAACTGTTTGTGCTAAGAGAATCTTTCTTCTCTCTCTCTCTCTCTCTCTCTCTCTCTCTCTCTCTCTCTCTCTCTCTCTCTCTCTCTCTCTGTCTCTCTCATAGGGAGGGAGCAGTCTTATATATACAGGCTTACAGGACAGTGGAAAAACCCAGGTGAAAGAGATTGTGTTTTCCTTGTGCTAGATGTTGATGTCAGTGGAGCAATGCGGGGGGGGGGGGCAGTAAACCGGAACTAGAAAACAGGAAGTACCTGTGGCTATCAGCTGACAAACAACTCAGACCCAGTGGGCACTAGGACCCAACACAGCATGACCAAGGCAACACTTACAAAAGAAACGATTTATTTGGAGCCTTGCTTAGAGTGTCAAAGGTTTAGTCCATTATCATCATGGTGGGGAGCATGTCAGTATACTGGCAGACATGGTACTGGAGAAGGAGCTCAGAGTTCAGCATCTTGATCCACAGGCAGCAGGGAGGGACACTGGGCCTGGCATGGGCCTTTTGAAACCCCAAAGCCCACCCCCAGTGACACACTTCTTCCAACAAGGCCATATCCCCTAATCCCTTCAAGTAGTACCACCCCCTGGTGACTGCATTCAAGTATATGAGCCTGTGGTGACCATTCTTATTCAAGCTACCACAGGAAGCAAAATGAGTGATGCTGTTAGTGAAGGCAGGGCTGTCCATGCCTGCTATTCCTTTCCTTAGCAAAGAATTTTAATCTTTTCTGCAAACTAGCTTGTGAGGTGTCTTCCTGGGACTTTTTATTAGCAAAGCTGAACTCATCATACATGCAATGTCTGTGATTTCCATAAAGGGACAAGAGCCAGGACAGACATTGTATCCTCCATGTTTGGCTCTCCCACGCAGTTAGGTTTAGCATCCTGTATATCTTCAGTGCATTCCTGTCAAATCTCATTGGGATATAAATTATGATCACATGACTTTCTAGTATCAAAAAAACAACTAAACAAACAATGATACCGTTGCTATTACACAGAAAGACTTACCAGACATGAAGACAAAAATGAACACCAACTACAGACAGCTTCCTAAAGCTCTTATAGATTAATTTATTTCTACCTTAGGGAAGTTAAGGAAAGGACTGAATATATACTTACCACTGTAGAATTATTTCATCAGTTTCTGTTCTAATCTAATAGAACATGATGTCTTAAACACTTCAGATTTTATGAGATGTACGCAATGCCTATGAACAGAATAAAACTGATTTTCCCCCATTGTGACATATTGTTATGGTGTCTAAACCAGGATCAGACACTGAAATGTTGCAAGGTAAAAATGTATTTTATAACCCAGCCAAACTTTCAGTCTTCTTGGAAGTATGAGAGAGAAGTGGCCTGACCAAAAGCTGGGGAGCCTTTTTCTTGTCAGGCTCTGATCTTTGATTAGGAAAGTGCAATATTTGCATTTGTTAATTTAATTACTTACTTTCATGATCATAGGAAGAGTATATGATGTTTTTATGGTCAGTCAGTTCTTGCAACATAACCTTGAAGCAATGAGAACAATTTACAATGTGTAAATCACAAGATTATAGAGGAAGAACAAGTCAAAAAAAAAAAAAAAACAAGTTGGCCTTTAGCTTGGGACATGATTAGAGAAAAACACCATAGGGAACAATATAGAAATAAATCAAATTCTAACATTATGTTTAACCAGGAAAAGGAAGAAAAATGCAGTCAGGTGGTCCTTCACCATGCTACAGTACATTGAAATAGTTGACAAGGACTTTCTACAAGGACTCTCTTTTTCTCTCTAAGGTTCCAAATGTTGAACTGTTTGTTTGTAACTAGGGAACAGAACACATAGTTAAAAATTTTCCTAATAGGGGTTAGAAAAAAGCTGAAAACAGTGTAAGATTATCAGAATCCAGAATTGCAGGGGTACGAATTTATGTACATGCATTTTTTTTCTTTTTGTCCCTGCCTCCTCTTGAGATAAAATTTCTATTCGTTTGCCTCACTTGTATAAAACCGGCATCCTGTTGTTTTATATTTACCTCACTTATCGTTCGTTATTGCTTAGGTTAGCAATGGGTTTAATTGTGGCATTGTCATATTTGTGTCATTATATTTTGTTCTCCTGCTCACTACACTCTACCATGGGTCCTGCTCCCTTCTGATACTTCTTCTCTTCTCCCAGCACATTGTATTTCATTTTTCCCTTCTTCATAGTTTGGAGTTATTAGTAGAGAACGGAGATAATGGCAGGTTTGGTGGGCACTGTTTGTGCCCTGCCCCATCCCCTGTGCTGGACTGCACACCCAATTCCCTGAAACTCCTGAACAGTTCCCAGCTAGTGTCTGCCCTCTGCCAAAGGAAGTAGAGTCTCCTGTGGTTAATGGCTGCCTGGCTGAGGGTACAAAAGGTTGCACTCCTGTCAAGGAAAGGCTAAACTTTTGGCACAATCCTTGACCTAGGAGAGCTTCCAAAGGGATGAAGAGAAGCCAGACTCAAATTTGAAAGGGTTTTGTGGCAAAAGCATATCTTGATGATCAGGGACAAGGAATGCCACAAAAATCACACCATGCAACAGACCTCACACAAGAGATTTATTGGGCAGGAGTGCAGGATGCAAAAGGCGGCCTCTGAGCAGGAAGGGGGGGGGAGACAGGCCACGTCATGATGGCAGGCTTCAAAGGGAGTATGGAGCATGCGCAAAGGGAAAAAGGGCAAATGTGGAGTCGGAAACATGTTGCATTAGTGATGATGGGGGCCGCTGAGTCACTGAATGTGGGGAGGAACCTAGTTCCGGTATATGAATGGTTCTTAGTTGACTAACAAAACTGATAGACGTGTTTAATTTTTCACCCTGCCTTTTCTTACTCCTTTTTGCCCGGGAGATTCCCACAAGGAATCGCTGACCCCCGAGTCTTAACTAAGTTGTGCTTCTGGAAATACACCCTAAGGCATAGGTCACTGTGAGGGTTAGATAAAGGATTACTGTCAGAAGTAATATTTCTTTGGGGCTTAAAGAGGGCTGTAAACGAGCCATCAGTAGTCCCACCATCTGTTGTACAGACAGAACTACAGGAAGGAGTGGTCTACGATGTGTGGCACACTTCAGAAAGGGAGCATGCTACTAACACCACCCTGTCCAGAAAATGATATTCAGACGCTCTCAGTGAGAGGATTGTCGCAGACTCAGGACTTCTCTTCTGACATGTCTTGCTTTTTTACTTTTATTCTGTTCCTTTTTCCCTTTCTCAGTCAAAAGCAAGATAAAAACAACACTCAAGTCATGATTTAAACAGTGTATTTAACAAATTTGATAATGTGCAAACAAATGTGTAAGCTTTTTTGAGAAATTTCTATTCAGATGGTTTGCCCCTTTTAAAATAGATTTGGGGGATTTTGCTGTCTATCTATCTATCATCTATCTATCTATCTATCTCTGTGTGTGTTCACATATGTGTGCATGCTCGTTATATTGCTGATGCTTTCACCTCAAAGAACAAAGATTCAGGTTGCCCTGCCTGAAGCATTCCAACATGAAAGGGTCACATGAGCTTTTATGGATCTAGAACTAAAGAAAGTCAGAAATCAAGGTGCTTGCCAAATGCATTGATGGGGAATCAGGTATGCAGTTTCCAGATACTTTCGGATAACATGCTTAATTTGGGGTGGTGGGAGATAATGTTGTTATGTTATACATTTGAAAGCATTTTAACTGGTAGTTGAAAGTAAATTACATTAGATATACGTGTGGGAAGAAATAGCAATTAAGAGGACTATAAAAATTACCAGATAATTTTAGCTATAGACTTGTAATTCTCCACAGTTGAAAAGTTCTAATCAGTTGTCCTTGGCTTTTTTTCTCTCTCTAAGAAATTCAGTCCACCATCTGTTCAACTATGTTCATAGCAGCATTATTTGCAATAGCCAGAACCTGAAAACAAACTAGATGCCCATCAACTAAAGAACTGATAAAGAAAATGTGGTACATTTACACAATGGAGTATTTCTCAGTGCGAAAAAAAACAATGGAATCTTGAAATTTGCAGGCAAATGGATGGAACTAGAAGAAATTATCCTGAGTGAGAAACCTAGCCACAAAAAACAAACATGGTATGTACTCACTCATATACAGATATTAGACATAGAGCAAAGGATTACCCGGCTACAATCCACACCTCCAGAGAAGCTAGGAAACAAGGAGGACTCTAAGAGAGACATACATGGTCCTCCAGAGAAGGGGAAACTAATTGGGAGGGGGAGGGAGGGGAAGGAGTTAGGAGAAAGAGGGGAGAAGAGGAGAGGGGAGGAAGACATGAAGGACCAGAAAGATTGAGTTAGGGAACGAATATAGGAGAGCAAGAAAAGACATACCATAATAGAAGGAGCCATTATAGGTTTAAAGAGAAAACTGGCACTAGGGAAATGTCCAGAGATCTACAAGGATGACCCCAAGTAACAATCTAAGCAATAGTGGAGAGCCTACCTTAAAATGCCCTCCCCTATAATAAGATTGATGACTACCTTATATGCCATCCTAGAGCCTTCATCTAGTAGCTAGCTGATTGAAGCAGAAGCAGACACTCACAGCTAAGCACTGAGCCTAATTCCTGGAATCCAGTTGCAGGAGTGATAAGCAAAGGGGTAAAGACCAGGCTGGGGAAACCCACAGAAACAGCTTACCTGAACAAGGGGGAACTCATGGACGCCAGACTGCCAGCTCAGAAACCTGAATAGGACAGAACCAGACCCCCTGAACATAGGTGTCAGTAAGGAGACCTGGGCAGTCTATGGGGTCTCTGGTAGTGGAACAGCATTTATCCCTAGTGTACAAATGGACATTGGGAGCCCATTCCCTATAGAAAGATACTCTCTCAGCCTGGACAAAGGGGGAGGGCCTAGGCCCTGTCCCGAATGATGTGACCGACTTTGATGATCCCCAATGGAAGGCCTCACCCTTTCTATGGAGCAGAAGAGGGATGGGATGGGGATTGGTGGAGTATGGGCAGATGGGAGGGAGAGGAAACTGGGATTGATATATAAAAAATGTTGTTTCTAATATAAATAAAAAAAGAAATTCAGTCCACAATATATTCTGAATATTAACTCTTTACCAGATCAATAATTTGCAAACATCTCCTGCTGTTCTGTAAATTGTTTCATTACTCTTTTGTTTGCTTCCTTTCTGCCTGAAGTGTATTGGCCCCGTACAAACCTGTTTGTCTATTTTGCTTTGGTTTCCTATGATTTTTGAATTTTGTCCAAAAACATCATTACCTATATCAAAATCCTGATATATTTTCCTTATCTCTCCCCACCCCCAGTAGATTTTTGCTTGTCCATTTTGAGATGGGATTTCTCTGTGTATACTTGACTGTCTTGGAACTCACTCTGTAGACTAAACTGACCTTGAACTCACAGGTTTGTCTGCTTCTGTCTCTGAGTGCTGAGATTAGAGGTGGGGGCCACCATGACCAGCCTCTCTGCCTTTTTATAGCTTCAGGTATCTTTGCTTTCAGTTGATTTTTGTGTAAGGTTGGAGATAAGGATCAGGTTTCATTCTTGTGGTGGGGGTATCCAATTTTCCCAGCACCATCTATTAAAGAGTTCCTATTTTCTCTAGTGTTGTTTTGGACACTTTTGTTGATAATCAATTGGCTGCAGATGCTTTGAATTATTTATAAACCTATAATTCTGTTCCTTTTGTCTATTTGTAGGATTCAGGTCAGTACCTGTATCTTGAGATCGGCATTGTAATGCCTCTAGCCTTGTTCTTTTTGGTATTTGGGATCTTTTGTATTTCCATATACATTTTAGGTTAGTTTTTTTTCTAGTTCTTTGATATTTTGATGAGATTGTATTGCACCTATATATCACTATGAGTAGCATGGGCATCTTAACAATATTAATTTCAAGAATATGGGGTGAGGTTCCTTTTATGTGTGTGTGTGTGTGTGTGTGTGTGTGTTATTCACATCCTTTCTGTTTGTTTGTTTCTTGAGACAGTGTCTCACTATATAGCCCTGGCTGTCCTGGAACTTATTATGTAGTAGACCAGACTATCCTGGAACTCACAGAAGTCCCACCTTCCTCTTCCTCCTTAGAGATGGGATTAAAGGCAAGCGCTACCACACCTTCATATCCTTTTAAAATTTATTCCTAAACGATTTATAATCATGCACCATCCCACCCAATTTATCCAGTGCTGGCAATCAAACAAACCTAGGGCTTTGTGCATACTAGGCGAGCACTCTACCAACTGAGCCATATCCCCAGGCCCCCTAAGGCGATTTGTTTACTTATTTTGTAACTATGGTGGTGGGATTGATTCCATCGTTTCTCATTAAGTTTGTTATTGGTGCACAAAAATGAATTTTTCTTTTTTTATTCATCTATTTTTATATTCCAATCCCAGTTCCCCCTCCCTCCTTTTCTCCTACCTCCTCCCATCTGCTCCACAGAGAGAGTAACACCTCCCATAAGAAGTCTACTGTGTCTGTCCCATCATCTCGCTGAGGCAGGACCAAGGCACCTCTCCACCCCACACCCCTATATCTAGGCAGGGCATGGTATCTCTCCATATAGAATGGACTCCACTAAGTCAATTTGTGCATTAGAGTTAGGTCTTGGACCCACTGCCAGTGGCCTCATATATTGTCCCAGTCACACCATTGTCACCTATATTAAGAGGGTCTAGTTTGGTCTTATACAGGTTCCCCATTTGCCAGACCTGAGTCAGTGGTCTCTCTCTAAAAATGAAGATTTTTGTATGTTAATTTTGTATACATCAATTTTACTGACTAAATTTATTTCACTCTTAATGAAGTCTATGTATAGATCATATTATCTGCAAAGAGAGACAATTTAACCTCTTTCCCTATTTTTATACTTTTTTCTCTTCCTGATTGTTCTACAGTCTAGTCATACAAAGAGTGGCAAAAGGGAGTGTTCATCCAGATCTTAGGGGAATGCTTCCAGATTTCCCCTTTCCTTTTGACAATGGTGTATAACACAAGTCCACAACCAGTCTTTGTCACAAAAGAATGCTGAAATTTACTTTTCAATTTTTAAGACAGGTTTTTACCATGTTGCCCAAGGCTTTTAATTTGTGATCCTCTTACCCAGACCTATGAGAAGCTAGAATTACAGGTGTGCATTGTCACTCGGAATGACGTGTGGCTGGAATGATGTCTTTGATGTGCTAGTTTTGGAGGGGTTATTTGTGAATTTTTTACATCTTTGTTTCATCAGTGATCTGTCTAGAGTTTTCATTTCATTTCCTTTTTTCCTTTTCCTTTTTTTGTTTCTATTTTTAAGTTTTAGAGAAAGTATTTGGTTTTGCTCAGAATTCTGGAACATACAGGTTGGAAGGGTCTGTTGAAGGTCTTCTTGTTAGCGGAGTCTCAGGGTAACACAAGGCATCACATAGAAAGAGGCTCTGTGTGTGTGTGTGTGTGTGTCTGTCTGTCTGTCTGTCTGTCTGTCTTGGGTCTTTGTCTGATTTTTGTGTAAGGAAATGCTGGCCTACAAAAGTTTGGAAACATCCCATCCTTTTCAATTTTAGGAAACTGTGTGGGAAGAATTGGTGGTTTTGCTTGAAGTCGCTTCTCTCTTTAGGTGCTATTGGTTTTTTCAGATTTTCCATGCCATTACCATTCAGGTTCGCCATTTATTCTATTGTTTCAAACTCATTTCTTTAGCATTAATGTCATGTTTTGATTTGATTTGTTTGGCCCAGGGTCTTGCACTGTGGCCCTGTGGTGGATGGGTGGGGGTTGGAAGGAAGGGAACTGGCAACATGACCCCTCAGGTAAAAGCACTTGTCACCAAGCCCAGCGATGTGAGTTCTACTCCCAGACCCTCAGGGTGGAAGGAAAGGACTGATTCCTGAAAGTGTCCCCTGACTTGGGCATGCACCCCCACCCCCTCCCATACATATTAAATAAATGCTAGGATACAGTTTTGTTGTGTTGCCCTTTCACAGGACCCCAGGTTCGGTTGTCAACAAACACATCTCAGGGCCTGGCGTCCTCAGGAGGCAACAAGCTTGTGACGCACATAAATACTCGGTGCGTGCCGTACTCATACGCACACAAATAAAAACCAATCTTCGGGGAGAAAGTTTGTATGCTAACGCCTAAAATGAAGAACCAGGAGTAGAACAAGTCACAAAATTTTCGCTTCTCAAGAGGTCTAGGCGGCGCTGAAGAATTTAGGTGGCTTGCCCAGCAGCCTAGAGCTGGGAGGCGGAGAACGCTCCCTGGTTGCCCTGGAAACCGGCTCCTGTCTAAGGACCGCCCCCTCCGCCCTGCTCGCTCTGAAACTCGCAGTCCAGGGACCACTCTCAGGGAGAGGGCGGGGCTTCACACTGAGCCTCGATTGGTCACGTGTCGAGCTGGCGTTGCTGGGCGCTGCTGCCTGGCGCAGGCTCCCTGGTCTGTGCAGTGGCGGGCTCCCTGAGGGAAGGCTTCCAGACTGGCAAGCAGGTCCCGACCCCTCTGTGCGGCCACCATGGACCTGACTTTAAGCCGGGCTGATTATCTCCAGGTAAACCGGTCGGCGGGCGCCCTCCTGGGTGAACGTGGGGCTGCTGTCCGCAGGCCTGGGGAAGCAGCTGTCGCTCCAGGCCCGGGTCCTAGGGGTGTCCCAGCTGCTCCCAGTGGCCTCGATTGCCCCGTCACTCCGCCTGGGGCTGACCACACCAGCCATGTTCCAGGAAACCATCTCAACCCTATTGAGCTTTTCTTCATAAAAGTTTACCACTAGGTAGGGCAATGAAGAGTCGAGGGGGGGGGGCGCCCAGAGAAGGTAAGTAACTTGCCCCATAGTTAAAAATTACGTAGTTGCTATTTGAATCAAAGTGTGGGACTCCCGATTGGGCATCCCTTCGGTGCATTACTGCTTCCCTGGAGACTGGACCAGCTACTTCACTTTAGTATCTTACGGATGCTGACTGCTCCATCTTGTTAATATCGCCTGGATCTGGCCAATTAGCCACCATCTCCATGGGTTGATAGGGCCTACAAGCTACATGTTCAACTTCCCCCAAGCCATGGTTCGAAGCACTTGAAGGTGTCAAGCTAAACAGATTGCTTAAAACTTTTAACACTATGCCTAAAAATTCAGAATACAGTCATATCTGTACTATATACAATTCCATGACTGGTTGTTTTTAAGTTCTGTCCCGCGTCTGGTGACTGTTACCTCTGCTGAACAAGGCATGCGTGCTGTTTTCATCCCCGTATCTTTTGTAAAACAGTCATCATCAGTTACACTGGATGTTTCCAACACCAGCGTGATGTCACGTCTGCAAAAGCCTCCTGCCTCCCGTCACTCTTTACCAGTGATGTCACATAATTGTTTTTACTTAATATGATACCTTTTGGGCTGTTTCCTCTATCTGACTTTATCATATTTCATTAGGAAATGTCAACTGATAAGAATATACGTTTCAGTGAAAAAATTAAAACTCAGTATGAACTGGTCTTTTTTTTTTTAATTTCTGATGTAATAGCTTCAATTACAGTATGCCAGCAAACACTCACCAGTTGGCTGGTCTGTTTCCTCAGGTGGGAGTGACCTCTCAGAAGACGATGAGATTGCTTCCTGCTTCAAAACAAAGAGCTACACAAAAGGTAGGGTAGACTTGACAGATTTCAATGACCCTCATTGAAGGCTTCAGCCTCCCTGAGGAGTAAATGGGGGATGAGATGGGAGGGTTTGGGGGGGTATGGGAGCATGGGAGGGAGAGGGAACTGAGATTGATATATAAAGTAAGATTGTTTCTAATTTAAATTTAATATGTGTGTGTGTCTGTGTGTGTGTGTGTGTGTGTGTGTGTACAGTAGACACTGACTTCTCCAGGCTCTAACAGGAGAGGCTCATTCTGTCTTCCTTATTAATAACTTAATGTGTAAAGGGTGCTAATGTGGGGCTGGAGAGATGGCTCAGTGGTTAAGAGCATTGACTGCTTTTCCACAGGACCTGGGTTCAATTCCCAGCACCCACATGGCAACTCACAACTGTCTGTAACTCCAAGACCTGACACTTTTATACAGACATATATGCAAGCAAAACACCAACTCAAATAAAACAAAATTAAATATTTTTCAAAAAGGTGCTAATGTTAACATGAAAATTAGCATCTTTAATTTGCATAGAAGTTGGAATATGAACAAATGTTTGCAGATAGCCCTGTTCTTGGACATTGATATATTGCATACAATTAGTGAGTTGTGTAAGAAAACTTGATAAAATTCATACATCTTGAGCTTCAGTTGTAGTTCTTGGAGGAGACTTGTATAGCCTGTTGGAGACCCTGAGGTCAGTTCCTAGAACTGCAAAAACAAACACTCCTTTTTTTTTCTGGTAATAATTCACTTTGTGTACCAGATTTTGTGTGTGTGTGTGTGTGTGTGTGTGTGTGTGTGTGTGTGTGTGTAGTGTAAAATACAGCAGAATGTTGATAAGTAATTCCTTTCAATCTTCTGTTCTGTTGTCTGTTGCTTTATCTTTATTTATTTTATTTTTGCGACAGGTTTCCATGTAGCTGAGGCTGGCCTTGAACTCTCCATCTTCCTGCCTCATCATCAAAACTTCAGGGAGTATGGGCATGTGCAATCATGCCTGGCTTAAATTTTCTCTTATTGTTTGAGTTACTGTCTTTAATGTTGAACTTTGTATTAACTTGACTTCTTATAAACATAAACCAATTAGTTTTGCAGGATAGCAGGGTATTTTAATAGTTGCAAAGCAAATGTATTGCTTTGAAGTATCAACATTATCAAGGTGAATGTAAAGAGGTTTCTTTTTTTTCTTGATAAACATATTTAAATACATTATTTAACCTTTGGCTATATTTTTAACTGATTTGAATACGGGTGGTTTCTCTAAATAAGGTATTTAAATATGTGAAAGAAATCTAACATTTTAAACAACTTCAAGAGAATCAACTGATTTCTGATTATTGCTTATTATATTCTAGATATAACAGCATATCTCAAAAATTTTACTCATTTGAGTTGTTGAGGATCTGAAAGAATATATTTATGTGATGTCAGTACTTCCACTACTAAATTTAAACCTAAGAAATATTTAAAATATCAAAAAATCAAACTCATGTTTATGTAACCATATTTGTATTAGAAGTATATTTTCAAGATAGAAAAATTTAGAAATGACAGCGATATTATGTTACATTTTTGCAAATTCTTAAATGTGTGTCAAAAACAAAGGTAGGTGGTTTCTTCTCTGCATTTCGGTCTGTTATGTTTTGTTTTGGTTGTGATACAAAGAGAAAAGCCTCATTAAATCAACTTACATAGATACATAGTTGAAAATAAAGGAAGATGTTTTAAGTAGCTTTTTCAGTTTACTCTGATTTTTGAGGCTGTCTTTAAATTGTTAAGGTTTCTTGGCTATCCCTGCAGTGGGTGGTCTGAGGGCACTGGTGAACTTTTCACCACGACAGTAAGTGTGCACTCGGTCAATCTGTTACAGGCAGTTGTTGGAGATCAAGATGGAGTCGTGATGTGCTTTGGCATGAAGAAAGGAGAGGCGGTGGTGAGTGGAGCTGTTTAAGGCAGCGGTTTTTCCAAAAGACAGATGCACTCCTTGCTGAACACTCCTAAGTTACAATTTTCCTAAAACACAGAAATGGAAAATAAATTGTAACATTTTATAAGTTTAAAAATCATAGCTTTTATAGTCAAGGAAAATGTTTACAGTAAGATCATGTGTACACAACTTTTTCCTCAATTGATTTTTGCAGCCAGTCTTCAAGACTTTACCAGGGCAGAAGATTTCGAGGCTGGAACTAGGAGGGGTTCTCAACATGCCCCAGGAGAAAATATTCCTTGCCGCAGGGTCTGAGATCAGAGGCTTCACAAAGAGAGGAAAACAGTTTCTCTCCTTTGAAACAAACCTCACTGAAAGCATTAAAGCTATGTATGTTCCATTCTCTTTCAAGTTTGTATATATATCTATAACACATTGGGTTGATGTAAAACATCTGATTAAATTAGTATATGCTGGTAGGTTTCCTGGAAAGTAAAACCAGCTACAGGTATTTCACTAGTCAGAACCTTGAGTCAATGCAAAGTTGATTGGCTGTTGTAATGTTTTCAACGTTTTTAACTTCACAGTATATGTATGTGTGTAGACACTCACACTCACTTTTTGTTTGGGAGCTCACATTCACTTTTACTTTGGGAGGCATTTCTAAAAATATATTTTGTGTTTTTAGTGGATACATAGTAATTGTGCGCATTTATAAATCACAGTGATGTTCAATACATGTACATGATGTGTGGTGTCAGACTAGGGTAATTAGCATATCTGTCACCTCTGACAAAATTTATTGCTGAGAGCATCCTAAATCCTCTCTACTAATTATTTTTGAAGTGTAGCGTTGTTGACTATATTCAGTTTCCACTGCCTGGTTGGTTCAGTTATGATCATGATTAAGGCATATGTAAAAAGTTAAAACAAAAAAACCTCTCTAGATGTACAGATTCCTCAAATGTCTTTGGTAGTTCTCATTTGAGGTAGCAATATTACCTTAAAAGGTTGATCAATATTTGAATGTGGTGGCTCCGGTCTGTAGTCCCCACATTTGAGAGACTGAGGCAGAAGGATTGTTGTGAATTTGAGGTCAATCTGGGCTGTATAACGAGTTCAAGATCGGTATGAGCTACAGAGTGAGACCTGGTCTTAAAAATCAAAAGACAAAATAAAGCAAAACCCTGGCCATTACAGCTGATGACCTCTAATGGCTGTAATTTCTAGTGGAGTCGGTAACACTAGTAAAAAGTAAGTGACTTCCTCGCATGAGAAATTTCACAATTATAAATTTAGATTTGTTTTGTACAAGTAGGGGGAGAGAAAGAGATGTATGGGTGGATATGCATGTGCTGTGGTCTATGAGTAGAGGTCAGAGGTCAACTTTGTAGAATCAGTGTCCTGTGTGAGACTGAGGAGAGTTCTGGGGAGAAAATTCAGATCATCAGGGGTTACATGGCAAGTTCTTTACCTTCTGAGTCATTGTCAACCCTGACAATGGGGGCTAGAGAGGCCTTAATTCATCTAATCTAGCCCCCTGCCTCTGTTTTTTGAAACAGGGTTTCTCTGTGTAGTCTTGGCTGTCCTGGAACTTATTCTGTATAACAGGCTGGCCTCAAACTTGGAGATCCTCCTGCCTCTGTTTCCTGAGTGCTGGGATTACCCAGTCTCTTCTCCCTGCTAACCCAAGACCTCTTGGGAAGCCTAATAGTAATCTGAGTAACTAGGAGTGCCTTTTATATTTCTTCCTTTGCTGTGATGCAACCAAGTTGAACACGTAGCCAGAGACCTGGTTTGGAAACTACTAGTTCACACCATATCCCTTTATAGTAGACAGATGTTATGTGTCATTCTATGCAATGCATAGTATTTTTCTTGACTTGTAAGGACGTTAAAAACTCTGGTTTAAGCCGGGCGTTGGTGGCACACGCCTTTAATCCCAGCACTCGGGAGGCAGAGGCAGGCGGATCTCTGTGAGTTCGAGACCAGCCTGGACTACCAAGCGAGTTCCAGGACAGCCTCCAAAGCCACAGAGAAACCCTGTCTCAAAAAACAAAAAACAAAAAAACAAAAAAAAAACAAAAACAAAAAAAACCTCTGGTTTAGTGAAATGAGCCTAGAATTCAACAGCAACAAGTAAAAATAATTTCAAGTGGTTTAACAAATTATAATTTGTTTGAAATGTCCTTATAGATGAATGAGAAACTCTTTGTGATTATTAGCTAGACTTTATTAAAACAATTATAAATGAATTATTTTCAAAATAACCTTCTAATCATCGCTCATCATTTACTTTAAAGTCAATTCACTTGAGGTGTTCTTTTCCTAGGCACATCAGTGTGAGGCTAATACTGGAGCTGAAATCACCCATGCCGTTGTCTGCCATTTACATTCTGCTAGTCACTTACAGAAGGGATAATAACATTCTATATAGTATCATGAGTGTTAATGTGATATCAGTTAGGACAGTGCTTGGCACATGGTACATATTTTAAAAGTTTCTCTTTGGATACTATTTTCTGTTCTTCGTTTTTCTGAGCTTTTTAATGAGAAGCCTAACTTACAGTCAGAAGTGTTATGTCAAATGACTAGAAATTGAAGCTGCATGGTTTGTACCTAGAACCCCACACTTGGGAGGAGGAGGCAGGGTGGCGTGATTCCACAGCCATCCTCAGCTCTTAGGGGATCAGGACAGCCTACAAGATCCAGTCTTTAAGTGGGGGCTAGAAAAGTGGGGAAATGGAACAAAAGTTATCTGTATAAAATGTAAGTAAGCTCTTTTCACGTCTAAAAGAAAATCAGTTCCCTGTGCTTTAAAATACAAACGTTCTAAATTACTGTTTGAATGTCCTCAGGTACATATCTGGCTCTGACCTCTTTCTCAGTGCAAGCTACATCTATAATCATTACTGTGATTGCAAAGATCAACATTATTACCTTTCTGGGGACAAAATCAATGATGTCATCTGCCTTCCCGTGGAAAGGTTATCTCGAATGACACCAGTGTTGGCCTGCCAGGACCGGGTACTCCGAGTTTTACAGGTGATGTCCTTTGGATTTTAGATCTTTTCATTATTCAGTAAATCATTATTATTTCGTTAATCTGCCTTAAGTATCCTATATAAAATTGAATATGAGAAAATATTTTTACATTTGATAATTTCTCTCTTTCTTCAGGCAGATGTGTTGGGATCTTTGCAGAGTTTTTAGAAAATATCTAGAGGGGGAAAAGGCTACTTTCTGCTTCCCTGTCCCCAATCTTGAATGGAGTACTTCAATACAGATGATTATTGTTAACATTTTCCCTACTTTGTTCCTTCATTACTTTTCTAGTCTTCAAAATTAAAAGGAGAAATTGGGTAGAAGAGTAGGTGACAAATAATTTGAATTTATCAGTCATTTAATCACAGTATGTAAGATAAAGTACTGAGTAAACAATTCATTGAATAAATAAATGCTAGAGTATTTGCCTACCAGGCATGCACACTTGGGTTTGAAATTCAGTGCTACATAAACCTGATGTTGTGGTACAGTAAGCCCCAAATCACAGCACTCAGGAGGTGGAGGCAGAAGAATCAGAAATTTAAGGTAATCCTTAGCTTTGTAATGAGTTTGAGACTAGCTCAGGATAGATGAATCCTGTTTCAAAAACACACAGAGCAGGAATGGGCTAGCATTCCACTAGATATTATCTAGCTGATTTCTAGGGTTCTGCTTTGTTTCACAAGAGGCTATCTATATTCTTATTTGTATTTATTTATCATTTTATTTTTTCTTGACATGAACCAGAACTTGCTGTGTAGACCAGGGTATTCTCAAACTCAGAGAGATCCGCGTCTCTGCTTCCCGAATGCTGAGAGTGTGTGCTACCATGCCTGCCGATATTCTTGTTGTTAGAAGTAGACCAACAAGGATCTGTGAAAGGAGAAATGGGATGTTGTCCTTGTGCCTCGCTCATACCCCTTTCCTGCCTTTGAGAACACTCCATCCTGAACTTGCCTCTTCTACAGCTTGTAGACGTTCTGCTTTACTTGTAGATGTCTACAAACTTTAAAATGATTAATACAGGATGAGCATATGGCTCTTTTCCATGTTGTAAATCTACATTAAAATCTTGTAAGTGTATAGTGGTTGAATTATGTAAGTGCTAAAACAAGGACAGCAGCTTGTTTTCATATCTGAATAGTAGATAATTCTGCCCCCTAGATGGAGTGCGTTTGGAGACTACCAAAAGGCAAGGTCAGGATTTCCCTCAGGAAGTAACTTTGGGTGTGCTCAGTTTTGAAGTTATTCTATCTTAAACCCACCAGTTAACACTAGAGAAGACAGAAGAAATAAACTTGTACCTGAAAAGTTTTAAAAGGTGTTTACCAGTATATGGTTTTCAGATAGACAACATATTAAAAATGAAAACTATTGACTCTTCTATTTAGAAGTTCATTGAGTTTTTGGTCTTTGGATCTGGCCAATTATGATTTTTTTTCTAAGAAGGTTCAAAATTTAAAAATGGAAACTATTCAAGGAGAGAATATATTATGTATTTTTCTCCTTGGTGCTTGTGTGTGCATTTTTTCATTTTCAATGTGTTAATATATGTACAATTATTGAAAAACACATTTATATTTACAACCTTTTTTTTTTCCTGAGACAGGGTTTCTCTGTGTAGCTTTGTAGGCCAGGCTTGGCCTCGAACTCACAGATATCTGCCTGCCTCTGCCTACCGAGTACTGGGATTAAAGGCGTGCACCACCACCACCCAACTACAATCTACTTTCTTAAAGTACTTTTATTTTAAATGCTTTATGAATTAATAGATTTAGATATTGATGTTTCCCATGGTTTCCCATATTCATTTGAGGGGTTTTTTTTCAACTTTTATAACTCTTTTTTTCCTTCAGGGATCTGATGTGATGTATGAAATTGAAGTTCCTGGTCCACCCACGGTCTTAGCTCTACATAATGGAGATGGAGGTAATCAGATTTCAGTACTCACAGCCAGTTATGAGTGTAAAGACCACTAAGTAAAAGCAGGAACTTGTGTGCAAAATGGAGCAGAGTTAAGTGTGTTCTCTGCTCAGGTGTGAAGTATTGAACTTCCTCATCTTGAAATTAGATGTAGGTAATATGCTTCACCTGATGACCACAAGGTGACTTATTCTAGTTTCTGCAAATCAGAACAACGCAGTAGAGGTGAAACATTTAAATGTTTGGTTTTCATTGATGAGATTGTTTTAAGATCATAAGAGCATGACATGGACATCACATAGTTAGGATTCCATAGGAACTACCTTGAAGCAAAGGAGTAATAATAGTCTTGCTTCTAGACACTCAGGACCAGCTTTCTTAGAAAAGAAGAAATGCCAGGTAAAGGAATTTAGTTCAGAAATTTTAAATGGAATCAGAAGGTATAGAGCAAACATGGACAAGCATTCTGGCATACATGAAATTTTTTTCTATTCATTTTTATTAATTTATTTTATAATATGTAAAAGCAAAAATTGCATATAAATGGTGGTACCATATAATGTTTTGATACATATAGACCAAATGTTTTACCCTTTAAAAAATTTCCCCAAGTGAAGTTTCTTTGCTTTATGTAATATTTGAAAAGTGAGATTTTTAACATTAAAATTTTTTTTTTAAGATCTAGTGTTCATATGTTCACTTTAATCTTAACTAGGTGACTCAGGAGAAGGTCTTCTGTTTGGCACATTGGATGGAAAGCTCGGGCTTATTCAAATCACCATGTCCAAACCAATACAGAAATGGGAAATTCGAAATGACAAAAAGCGGGGAGGTACATTTTCAATATAGTTTGTATTATGAAATTTCGACAATTATTTAATAAATAGAGTATGCAATTTATTCTGTTTTATTTGGTTATATTATATGTCAAGCTTAGTGATTCACTGAGGCACCTCTGACTCATCCACTATTTGATTATGGCATCTATTGTGTTATAGATATAATTTTTAAAATAAGGAGTGCAGCACTCGGGAGGCAGAGGCAGGCGGATCTCTGTGAGTTCGAGGCCAGCCTGGTCTACAGAGCGAGTTCCAGGACAGCCTCCAAAACAATACAGAGAAACCCTGTCTTGAAAAACCAAAAAAATAAAAAAAAATATAAATAAAATAAGGAATGCTACTTGTAGTCTGGGATAGACATATAGGTTAATCTCCACTATCCCATGTTAAACCCCACTGGAATAGAGACTTAATTGGAATCTGTGACATTTGGTGGGATGTAAAGAATGTAGTAGTGGGTCAGAAACTATTCCTATTTTCCAAAGAGTTTATAGATTTCCAAGAATTTATACCCAACTTGGTAGGTATTGAGATAGCTATTTATATGTACAGGATATTTGTTTGTCTATGTATTTATCCTTTAACACATACTTGCTTGGGGGAAACAGAGACCAGATGGCTGACTCTATTCGAGCCCTTCAGCTGGTCATGTGAAGAGAACACAGAGGTTTAGTGTATGGTGGGCGATGATGGAAGCGGCTCCCTCAATGACCAGAGAAAGTGCTTTAGAAAAGGGAAGTTTGAGCTGGGAAGGTTTGGGGGAAATACTATTCTAAGAGGAGTAAAAAATAATTGCCAAGCCCTTGAGACAGAGGTGAGCTTGATTCACTGGGAGACACTAGAAAGATCAGTGTGGCTGAACACAGTAACGTGGCCTGAGGCGAGAAGGATGACATCAGAGACATGGCCTAGAATTCTTTAGCCTATGCAGCAGAGGCATAGTTTACTGACGTAGAGGAAGCCTGGAGAGAGCAGGACTGATAGTGTGAAGAATATTAGAGAAATTTGCTTGGGGCATGAGAAGTTTGAGATGCCCATGTGTACAGGAAAGTGACAAATTGGACATAAGAGCCTGGGGCTTACTGAGAGGCCAGAGCTAAAGGGAGATGTACCGTAGGTTCATTGCTGTGTAAATTGTATGTAAAGCTTTGGAAATAGATGAATGTAGATTGAAAAGAGAAAAAAATAACACCTAATTATGTGCAAAGTTGTTCCTTTTCTTTACCCAATTCTAACTTATTATATAAAATTTTCATAACTATGTGGTATGAAAATATATGGATACATGTATATATTCTCTTGCATCTCTTGGTTTTCTAACCCATCACTCTCAGTACTTATACCTCCCCTTTTTTATAGGTATCTTGTGTATTGACAGCTTTGATATCATGGGTGATGGGGTTAAAGATTTGCTTGTTGGGAGAGATGATGGAATGGTGGAGGTGTATAGTTTTGAGACTGCAAATGAACCTGTGCTACGATTTGATCAGGTAAGTTAATTTACAAAGATTTGTGTGGGGACTGAGACTATAGTTTAGCGGTGAAGGCCTTGCCAATTGTGTGTGAAGTCCTGGTTCTAGCACTAACACAATAAACCAAAATCAAGACAAAGACTATACACTTACCACTTGTCCATTGTTGTAGAGATTGTTGATAGTCTGACTTCGAGTAAATTGCAAAATACTGCTTTTTAAAACAAAATGTTGTTCTATCCTGACCTGGTGGTAAGGCCTCTAAATCTCAACAACTCTGACTAAGGCAGGAGGATCACAAATTCAAGGCCTGCCTTACAGAGTAAACAGCTTTAGTGAGACTCTGTCCCAAAGCAGAAACTAAGAAGGACCAGGATATTGCTCAGTGGTAAATAAACACTTATAAAGATGCTGTCATTCGCAAAATCTCTAGTCTATTCTTGTGTGTGAGTAGCAGAGTACTACCTTTAAGCTGAATAACAAATTCCTTTTCCCTTTCAGTATTACTCGTAAATATCATTTTAATTTCTTAGGTTTTAAATATTTTATTCTAGTGTTTATGAATCAGGACAACACAGTAGAGGCGAAACATTTAAATATTTGGTTTTCATTGATGGAATTGTTTAAGGTAATAAGAGCATGACATGGACATCACATAGTTAGGATTCCATAGGAACTACCTTGAAGCAGAGGAGTAATGATAGTCTTGCTTCTAGACACTCAAGGACCAGCTTTCTTAGAAAAGAAGAAATGCCAGGTAAATTCTTTTAGTTCAAAATTTTAAATGTAGCCGGGCAGTGGTGACACAGGCCTTTAATCCCAGCACTTGGGAGGCAGAAGCAGGCCTGGTCTACAAAGCTACACAAAGAAACCCTGTCTGGAAAAAACAAATATAAATAAATAAATAAATAAATAAATAAATAAATTTTAAATGTAATTGAAAGGTATAGAATCAGCATAGACAAGCATTCTGGCACATATAAATCTTTCTACTGTTTTCTATTCATTTTTAATTAATTTATTTTTCTGATATATAAAGGCGAAACTACGTATGCGTGGTGGTATTGTATTAGTGGTATCATATGATGTTTTGATTCATGTATACCAAATATATTTCCTTTAAAGGTTTTAAATTGTACTCATTTGTGAATTTGTATTTTTAGTGTTTGTAGAGAGGTGTTTGTGTGTAGGTGTTTGTATACATGTGGTGTGTGAGCACCACTGTGCGCATGTAGATGCCAGATGATGACTTTTGGGAACTGGTTCTCTCTTTCCACCATGTTGGTCCCAGGGATCAAACTCAAGTTGTCAAAGATCTTAGTAGCAAGATCTTTATCTACTGAGATATCTTGCCAGTCCCTGAGTATAATGTTTAAATAGTGTTAAACATATTTCTTAGTGAAAATTCTCAAAATCATTCCTTATAGCCCTTTGAAGTATATGGTACATAATTGCTATCTACAATTGGCCTACACAATGGCAAATATTCTTTTCCTTCTATCTCATGATTCTCTATGAGAACTTCAGCAAATAAGTAAAAATATAGTTAATCAAGTATCAGAACTTCATGCTTATATAACTATTGGTACTCATTAATCAACTTCTCCTTATTCTTCCCTTCCTACTCTTGAGAGCTACAGGACCCACATCCTATCCTTAAGTCCTGTGAGGTCCACACCCACGCTTTATGTCGACAGATGAGTGAGAGCAGTGGTCTTGCTGTGCTGTCTAAACGGTATTCTTTCAGAAAATGGCACTAGTGGTAAAGTGTTTGATGGCTGTAATGAGATCCATGAGGGCAGGATGCCTTAGAGAGCGTAGGCTTGGCTTCTGGTTCTGAGGTAGAAGAAGTACGGCTTCATCTGGTCATGGTGTGTTTGCTGGCAGATTCCCAGCATGGCGCAGAGTACCACAGATGCCAGAGAAATCTGATGGTATTTGTGTGTGTGTGTGTGTGTGTGGTTTTTTTTCTTCCTCTCTCTCTATAGAGGCCCCAAACAGAACCAAATTCTGAGACTCCACCTGTAGACTTTTTGTTTTTGTTTGTTTTTGTTTTTTTCCAGACAAGGTTTCTCTGTATTGTTTCGAAGGCTGTCCTGGAACTCGCTATGTAGACCAGGCTGGCCTCGAACTCACAGAAATCCGCCTGCCTCTGCCTCTGGAGAGCTGGGATTAAAGGCGTGCGCCACCAACACCCAGCTCCACCTGAAGACTTTATCTGTCGAATCCTTTTCCAAAAGACTCTCCTGAGCCCTTAGTTGGGTTAATCCATTAAGGCATGGTTTTGAAAATGAAGCTTCGGTGGGTATCTACATGTTCCGTTAGACATTCACATCCTAGCTGCCTGATTCCATCCAGGGCTTCTCCATGCTGCCTCATAGAGGCTACACTGAGGCTTTCAAATAAAAGTGCCCACAAAGTGTGTTACAGAGGAGGCGATGTGGAAATTCAAACATCACACAGTCAAGTATTTTACAGATTTAGTTCAAACTTGTGCATCTTGATGTAAAAAGTCATCTTGCTAAGTAAAATTCAAGAAATAGCTCAGAGCCATGCTTTGAGCACACGATTTTTAAAAGCACATGCCTTTAAATCCCAGAAGAGGCAGGTGGATCTCTGAGCTGCCTGGTCTACAGAGTGAGTCTAGAAGAGCCAAGGCTACACAGAGAAACTCTGTCTTGAAGAAAACAAAACGAACAAAAAACAAATAGTTCAGGCTTCAAAGTAAATAAGTATATAATAGTATTGGTTGATGGTGTGCCTGTTCTTATCAGTCTTTGAGAAACTTTTTGTACCGGACCTCAAGTCTTCTCTCCTTCTGTTCTGTACCTTAAGAACAGCACGACATTTGCAGTTCACTTGTGTCTGTCACTGACAACTGCTATCTCCCTGGCTGTTTTTTCCATCTTCCTAATGATAGAGGGGCTTGTGTCAATAAAAAATGAAAAACACAAGAGTACAACTTAAAATACTTTGCAGCTAATGGATAATTTGGGAATACATACGTTTTTTATTTTAATTGATTCATTTTTATTGTACGCGCATTGGTGTTTCCCTGTCCACTGGGACTGGAGTTAGAGACAGTTGTAAGCCACCTGATGTGAGTGTGAGAGCCAAATCTGGGTCCTTTTCAAGAGCAGCATGCACTGTTACCCGGTGAACCATCTCCCAACCCCCTTATATTAGTCTTGATCAGATGGGTAATACTAATAATGATAGAAACCGCCAGTGCTTACAATATACAAGTTTCTGCTCCCCAGAGCTTTGTGATCACACAGACAGTTTTTAAAAAGTAGTTCCTTGCGAGTTTTGGACACCATGTTTTGATCATATTCATCCCCTCTAACTCCTCCCAAATCCACCCGCTTTCTCTATTCTCCCGACTTTGTGTCCTTTTAGTTTTTAAATCCCTCAAGACCATTCTATGCTGCCCGAAACATCCCTGGATGTGTGGTCCTCCACTGGAGCCTGGTTGACTCGCCAGAGACTACACTCAGAAAAAAGAGTCTGTCCCTCTCCCAGCAGCTGACAACAGCCAAGGGCTCCATGGCTGCAGGTGGAAATGTGTGCCCACTTGCCCTCCCCATGCTGAGATTTGATCTGGCTTGGGCTTGTACAAGTTTTGTGCATACTATCACAACCACTTTATATATATTTTGTTTTGTTTTTCGAGACAGGGTTTCTCTGTATTGTTTTTTGGAGGCTGTCCTGGTACTCACTCTGTAGACCAGGCTGGCCTTGAACTCACAGAGATCCGCCTGCCTCTGCCTCCCAAGTGCTGGGATTAAAGGCGTGCATCACCAATGCCTGGCCATGCCTGGTATATTTTAAAATAGAAATAAAAGTTCAAGAAGAAGAAGGAATAATAAAACATTTCTGTTTCATTCAGTTATTCTAGCTGATGTCTCTTACTTTCAATGTCGATGATTGTGTACACAAACTTTTCCTGGTGTTTAGAGTCACTGGATATGATTTTTAAATGTCATGGATTTATTTTAAAATATTATAACCTCCATAAGTTTATGATGAAAATTCTAGAAGTTAACTTAAAAACATACAGCAAATGCGTATTTTTTTTTCACTAAAGAAAAAAGCTCGGAAGAAATTTACCACCTAGACTAAACGTACTAGCTGCTTTGTTTATACAATTTTCCAAACCTTCCTTTATAGAAATAGTTTTGTTTTCTAGATGGTTATATTGAGTGTTATTCACAAATATGCTAGTTATTTTGAATCTTCTTTGCTATATTTAAAAATGCTGGAATTTTCTAGCATTCGTTCAGATTTTTCTCTCCTAATCTTAGTGTCTGCACATGATAAATATACTCTAAATATGTGTTGAACGGGAGACAGGAAGAGAGGTTTTGTAGCTCACCTTAACATGTCTTTGAAATGTTCAAATATTAACAAGTGATTGCTATTACATTATTTTGTAGCTCACGTTAACATGCCTTTGAAATGTTTAAATATTAACAAGTGATTGGTATTACATTATTTTAGATGCTGTCTGAAAGCGTTACGTCGATCCAGGGCGGTTGTGTAGGGAAAGATGGTTATGATGAAATTGTGCTGGCCACGTATTCAGGTAATGTGATGATATGAGCAGTCGGAGGGTGATGAAAAAAATCTAGATTTAGTAAAGTTACTTTTTGACTAATTTGATTTCTTTACTTGTGTGTGTGTGTGTGTGTGTGTGTGTCAGAGAGGGGGAGATGTGGTATATGATATATGTGTTTGCCAAGCCTGCCAACTGAGTTCCATCCCCAGATTCCCTGTGGGAGAGGGAGAGAGCTAATTCCTGGAAATTTTGTGACTTCTTTCACTCATGTGCCCTGGCATATTTATCCCTCTCTTCCTCCCCTACCTGTCCAAATGTAATATCAAAGAAAAGTAAGGGAGCCAGGCGTTGGTGGCGCACGCCTTTAATTCCAGCACTCCGGAGGCCGAGGCAGGCTGTGAGTTCGAGGCCAACCTGGTCTACAGAGCAAGCTTCAGGACAGCCTCCAAAACAACACAGAGAAACCCTGTCTCAGAAAAAGAAAGAAAGAAGGAAAGAAAGAAAGAAAGAAAGAAAGAAAGAAAGAAAGAAAGAAAGGAAAGAAAAGAGAAGAAAAATAAGGAAAGTGGCTGGGGACATAGCTCAGTGGTTTTATTGCCTCACACGTGTAGGATCTATGTGTTGGATCTAATATTGGATAACATTTTGAAGAGAGCTTTGCTTATCTCTAGTAAATTAAATTATATTCTTCAATTTAGAGAGAAGTATTTGCTAAATTTGAGACTACATTTTGGCCTAATGCACTTCTTATAAAAACTTGACTTTAAAGAGATAGTTTCTTTATCCCTCACAGTAGTCTTTTGAGTGTGGTTTCCATGTCAACAATACTAGCCAATTCTGACTTTTCAGCTACCTTTGAATTTGCCAGAGTGTACTGACATACACTGTACTTGAAAAGTGAGGTTTTTAAGAATTGAAAGATTGTAGCATATCAAAGAAAAAGTAGTGTCACAAATTTCGTAAGTACTTCCTGTATGATGTGAATATTTTTTTTTCTTTTGGTTTTTACGAGACAGGGTTTCTTTGTATTGTTTTGGAGGCTATCGGTCCAGCCCGGCCTCGAACTCACAGAGATCCGCCTGCCTCTGCCTCCCGCATGCTGGGATTAAAGGCGTGCGCCACCACCGCCCGACCGTGAATACTTTTAGTTTGAATTTTTGTTCCATTTTCTAAGAAGCCATGGGACTGTTGGGTCGGATGTGATGGACAAGGATGGTGTAACTAGGGGCTTTGTCACCAGCTTTTGTCCGAAGCACTAAGCATGATTGTACCTCATCTTTACAGGCTGGATTACAGGGCTGACAACAGAGCCCACTCATAAGCAAAGTGGTCCAGGAGAAGAGCTAAAACTTAATCAGGAAATGCAGAATAAAATTTCTTCTTTACGGTAACATTTTTGCTGTTTCCATCTCATCACAGTTTGCACAGTCTCTGCTTGTTGCACATGGGCACACTTGCTTTGTTTTATAGGTCTGAAAGATTAAGTCTCATAAAAGTTTGTAGGCCTGAGAAAATTAGCAGTCACTGTTGATTAATCTTTCGAGTTTGAAATATACCTTCCTTATGCATTATTCTCTTTTGTTTTTGTTTTCTGGAACAAGGTCTCTCATAGCCCAGGCTGCTCTTTTAGCTCTTTCTGTAGCTGAAGATGACCTTGAACTCCTGATCCTTGTTTCTGTCTCCATGGTGCTGGGTCCAGGTTTGTTGTACCCCACCCATCAGATGCATTAGTCTTTCTTGACTTACTGATGGGTTCATGTGTGCTCTACCCCACCCATCAGGTTCATTAGTCCCTCTAGATTTACTGATCAGAACTGCACTTTTTCGTTTGCCTAGCTGTAGGCAGTTACAATGTTTTGCTTGTTTTCCAACACATTACAAGTAAATGATGAGAAGTGACTAGATCTTTGTCATTAACTCTAATGTTGACTGTCCCTGTGAATCCTTCTGATCTATATAAGCTGCTCTTGCTGGACCTGAATAATGCTGACTCCCTTCAGGGCTGACATTGCCTTCATGGCCTGCTCAATTTGATATGTCCTGTGAAAAGTTGACCCCATGCTCACATACAATAAGGAAATGGATGTTGATAAAACTTTTATTGACTGGGCACCCTTGTATCACTTACTAACTTCTTAGGGAAGTGAGAGCTCACCCTTTTTGGTGGTAGTTGAAGGCTCTAGGAACTTTGAAGACAACAGATGCCGCAAGTACTAGTTGCATGATCTCTGTTTATGAAGATCACTAGGAAAGCAATATACAAGCTAATGTGCCAAATTTATTCAGGGTGTCCTAGTTCCTGCAATAAGGAAACAGTGAGATGACTCAGTAGATAACGCACTTGCCAGGAAACCATGAAGACCAGAGTTCAGATCCCCAGTATCTGATGGGGGTTCTGGGCCTTGCTAGCTAGCTAAACTAACTACAGTTTACAACAGTTCTACAGTTTACTGAGAATCCTGCTTCAATAAGTAAAGTAGAGAGTGACCATGGAGGGCTCTACACCAACTTCTGGCCTCCACACATATATGCACACACATGTGTATGCATCCATACACGGTGTATCATATGCATGTAAATGTTTACACACATGTATACTACACACATACTTCTTTAAAAAAAAAAAAGGCAAGTATGGGGCTGGAGAGATAGTTCCGTGGTTAGGGGCACTGACTGCTCTTCCAGAGGACCTGGCTTCAAGTCTCAGCATCCACATGCAACTCAACACTGTAACTCCAAGATCTGACATTCTCATACCAAGTAAAATTAGTGACTGACTGCTATGTTAGATACTCAGTATAATACCTAGAAAATAGTGTCAGATTCCTTGCAACTGGAGTTACACTTGTGAGCTGCCATGTGGGTGCTGGGAATTTAACTTGAGTCCTCTGAAAGAGCAGCCAGTGATCTTAACAGCTCAGCTGTCTCTCCAGCCCCAAACACCTTCCTTCTATAACCAAGTCTTCCCCTCCCTCACTTCCCCCAAGTCTTCTCTATCACAATGAAATATAAGCTGTGTTACAAACTTTTATTCTTTTGTTCAGTCAGTGCATAGAACACTGATGTAAATATGTAATATTGATCAGTAAATGTTTTAGATATATTAATATTTCCCTTGATTTACTGCATACATCCCACTAAATGTCCTTCTCAGACTTTTCCCCTAAATTTAGACTGGCTAACCTTCATGTTGCCCCCATACTGTTACTTCATTGCAGGTAACCTTTCCCCTTAACCAAACACCCCTTGACAATACTTGTAAAGAATCTGCTCCAACATTTCATAAAACTTCAGTGATGCCCCTGGTCCATAATCATCTTTGTCATTTTCAGAATGTTGATATTCTGCCCCCATTTTGTGTGTCTACATTAGTGACTTATAGAGAAGCTATGTCAACTGGCTGCGTGCTTTAGTCTTTTTCATTGGGTCTACTGTATTGGCTTCTCTTCTGATCAGTGCTGTGTATAGCTGCTGCCATGTGTTGGAGTTGGTGATTTGCGCTCTTGATCCAGCTCTATTAGTAATACCACTATTGGACTGAGTGGATGTTTTAGTTTTTGGATCAATGATAAATGATGTAGAATCACTTAGCCAGCCGGGCGTTGGTGGCGCACGCCTTTAATCCCAGCACTCGGGAGGCAGAGGCAGGCAGATCTCTGTGAGTTTGAGACCAGCCTGGACTACCAAGCGAGTTCCAGGACAGCCTCCAAAGCCACAGAGAAACCCTGTCTCGAAAAACCAACCAAACAAACAAGCAAACAAAAAAGAATCACTTAACCAGTCATAGAAGCAAACATGTACCTATTGGTGTGAAACAATTTTCTAGCTCAGCCTCTCAGTCTGGCTTCTCAAAAGGAAGTATCTCACATGTTTGTGCACACTGTAAGGATCTCAAGTGTCTGTGGGTGATAAGATTGTATGTATTTTCCTGCAGGAGTGAGTTAGAACATCTGCAGTTTAAGGTACTGCAGGAAAGAGAAAACTACCAACAGTCTTCACAGTCAAGCAAAGCAAAATCAACAGTTCCTTCATTTAGCATAAATGACAAGTTTACATTGAATAAAGATGATGCCAGCTACAGCCTTGTCTTAGAGGTTCAGACTGCAATAGATAACGTCTTAATACAGGTAAGCAGAATGCCTAGCTTCTTAATTTTAGGCTAGATCTGGGTTTTTTATTTGTTGGTTTTTGTTTTTTGTAGACCAGTGTGTGCCCTTATTATTAATAAACATTTTTAATTCTAGACAGTAATTATAAATGTTTACAGGTTATTGATCTTGTGATAGGTAGTCAATTATAGGTTATTTGAGTTATTTCTTTACATTTTATTTATTGTATACTCAACAATCAAAAGATATGGGAACTTCAGCTTTCAGAAGAAAAAGAAAAACACCAGGATTTCCTTCTTTGACTTCCCTCTGGGAGAATTTTAATCATAATATGGCTTAGAAAACTCCAGTATATGCTAGGTGTCAGGTTTTGGCCTGTAATTGTAACACTCACAAGTCTGAGGCCAACCTGAACTATAAAGTGAGATCTTGCCTCAAAAAAAGCAAAAGAAGGCTCCAATATTAAATCCTTTGTAAAGGTGCTTTCTGAATCTCCAGATGGTAGCTTACCTATTAACCCAGTAGATTCTAGGTAGGCCAAAGGCAAAGTAGATAAATTCAAGGGGTGAAATTTAGGGATAATAATAGGTAACTCACAACTATTTTTTGGTTTGTTTATTTAAATTGGAATGTAGCCATGAAATAGAAAAGGATAGATGGAAAATTATTAGATGAAAACCCCATAAAAATGGGAGGGTATCAAGGTGGGAAAAGATCATTTATCTCTCCAGAAGATACACTAAAAAAATGAGATAATCGATTAGAGGAAGCCTTCTTCCATTGCGTTAGCTCACAGGCTGCCACCCTGAACCACTCCAGGAGCTCCAGCCTCGTGCACCACGGGGCAGCAGCAGCTTTCTCTTAGAAGCTTCTCTGCTCAGTGGATCATATGCTTATGTAACAAGCTCCATAAAAATGAACTATTCGCAAAGGAGATGGTTCAGTTGCTAAAGTGCCTGCTGTTCAAGCATTAGCACTTGTGTTTGGATCTATAGGTGGCTCTGTGTCTGTAATTCCAGAACCAGGCAGAGACAGGTAAATCCTTGGAGCTTTCTAGTCAGCTAGTCTAGCTAATTGGTTTAATGAAGACTCTGTCTCAAAAACTAAGGTGGAAAATGACCAAAGAAGATACCAACATGTGCATCTCCATGAACATAGGCATATATTTACACACCACACACTTATAATTGATATAATCAGAATAACCCCATGATTAAAGCCCATGATAACTGCTTTTCACTAATAAAAACAAAAACAGGAAGATTATTCTTAAGGAGATAGAATGTTCTCCAACTTCTGATAAGCCAAATATTAAAGAATAGATGGTTATACAAATTTATTCTTTATTGAGCTCACTTTCTGATGAACCCGTTTTACAAATGGAGAAGCCACGAGTGAAGCATGCCTTTAATCTCAGGAATGGAGACACAGAGAGGGCATATCTCTGTAAGTTCAAGGCCAGCCTGGTCTGCATTTACAACTCTAGACCAGCTAGGGGTACATGGCGAGAGCTTGCCTAACAACACCAGAGAAGGAGGGTTGTAAACTGGAAGCATTCACACATGAAGACATGAACCCTTAGAGGAAGCATCTTGTGTACACTTTCAGGGTTTCCTTCTGAGCCTTTTTTGTTTCTACATATTTGCTGTAGAGTGACGTCCCAATAGATCTACTTGATGTGGATAAAAATTCTGCTGTTGTGAGCTTTAGCAGCTGTGACACAGAGGTAAGTTAAAAACAAACAAAAAACCTTCAAGTCTTGGTTTTGTGGGACTGTTTTGGGGTCAGCTCTGTAAGTGCTGTAGGGTTTGAAGCTGGTATTCCCATCATTCCCTTACTGGCTTTTCTCATATACTCTGCTTATGTCCTGATCCTGAGGCCCTGCCCTAAACTCCTAGGTCCCGTCCTAGACTCCCTGAGCTCTTATTCTGCACTTGTCTTGCTTCCTCCTGTGGTAACTCACTCTAGGCCCTATCGTGTCCTGCTCCACAACTTATCCCTATAGCTTCTCTGCCTTCAGTCCTGCCACTCACCGCAAGACTGCTGCACGCTGCCACCAGAGAGGTCTTTGTAGAGCACAAATGTCACTGAATCATTTCTCACAACCTTTTAAAGGTTTCTGGAGGACCAGAAGCTCTAGATTATGCTTGGCTATGTAGCTATGGCAATCTAAGATACATGGCACCCTGTCTTAAGCAAAAAGCAATTAACCTGTTTTGTTTACATCACTTCACAATTATTTGAAAAGATTATTTTATGCCAATTTAAAACTTGTTTCTAGCTGGGCATTGGTGGTGCATGCCTTCAATCCCTACACTGGGGAGACAGAAGCAGGAGAATCTCTTTGAGTTCAAGACCAGGCTTGTCTATAGAGTTGAGTTCCAGGAGATCCATGGCTATACAGAGAATCCCTGTCTTAAAAAAACCCAAGCCAAAAAAAAAAAAAAAGGAAGGAAGGAAGAAAAGAAAAACTTGTTTCTAGGACTGTGGTTTCTTCAGAAAGAATGCTTATTATGGAGATTTGAAATATTAAAAAAAAACATAGAAAAACAAATATAATCATCTCCACACACCTCTCACTTCCAGCATATGGCTCCCTCCTCACTGTCTCCTTTGCTGCCCCTAAACTGTACATGAAGTTCCTGTCCTGCCTGGTCTTGCAGCCATTTAATAAGCACACAGAAGCTTATATTAATTATAAATTGTTTGGCCAGTGACTCAGGCTTCTTATTGGCCAGCTCTGTCTTAATTATTAGCCCATTTCTATTAATCTGTGTACCGCCATGTCTTAGCTTACCCGTGATACCCGGGCCCCTTGCTTCCTCAGCAGCTACATGGCATCTCCCTGGCTCTGCTTACTACCTTTCTCTATCCCTGTTTGGATTTCCCACCTGGCTAAATTCTCCCTGTCCATTGACCAAAACAAGTAAGAGAAACATATATTCACAGTATACAGAAGGACATCCCCTATCGTGTCCTCTTTTTCTGTCTAAATAAAAAGGAAGGTTTTAACTTTAACATAGTAAAATTGTATATAACAAAACAGTTACCAAGCAAGAACTATAGTTAGCAATATTTAGTCTACTAACATTTGAAAAATTTTAAAGAAAATATTCTATCATTTATCATATCTTTGCAAGTCTAAAGTTTTATGTGTTAACTTTTATTATAACTAAGAAAAACCATAACTATAACTATCTGTCTTTAACTCCATCAAAAACCCCAGAAGGATAATATATAAATGCTATAGTTGACAGAAACATCTTACTGACTGGACAGTCACTCAAAGTTCCTTTGTAATGTTGGGGCATTCCTCTTCAGTCTATAGACCCAGAATGTCCAGAAGACTTTTTTTATTTTTTTATTTTTTATTTTTTTGGCTTTTCAAGACAGGGTTTCTTATGGCTTTGGAGGCTGTCCTGGAACTAGCTCTTGTAGACCAGGCTGGCCTCGAACTCACAGAGATCCGCCTGCCTCTGCCTCCCAAGTGCTGGGATTAAAGGCGTGCACCACCAACGCCCGGCTGTCCAGAAGACTTTTTGATGAAGCAGGAGCCTTGAAGGACTATCCTGTCGACTATCCTGTCCCTTGAGAAGTTCAGCAGTCATTTTTCCTTGTAACCTGCTTGTCCAGTTTTGACAGCATTCTGTCAAGCAGTCCAGGCAAGAGCAGTATCTTGTCCAAATAGTTATCCCTGCCAAGTTGAAGGCAAACTCCATAATGAGTTTCTTTGATGCCCATCTTCCTCTTTGAGGTAATCGGTACTGCCAGGAGATGTCTCACTGTCATGAAAAACCCTAATAAACCATTTTAAATGCCATATTGTGTAGGTCTTTGAAAGATTCTGAAGAATGCCTATCCATTTGAAGTATACCTCTGTATATCTTGAAAGTCTAACATAACGGCTGCTGTCATTTCTCACATGCTTTGGAAGTCACTTGCTCACACTTCCTGCTTACTCAATTCATATTATTTCCTTCTCGGGTCTCTGAGGGAGTTAAAGACTAGATAGTATAGTTATAGTTTTCCTTATTTACTAGGCTCAGAAAAGAAACTCATGAAAGATGTATTAAGTATAATAGGTTTGAAAATTATTAAAAGATAATTTAATAATGCAAATTAGAATAGAAAGTAAATTAGATACAAGACTTTGGACTCACCCAGAAAGAATAGATATGGAATATTTTCTCTGAATTTGTCAAATGCTAATGGACTAGACATTGTTAATGTACTTATTGCCTGTATGTACTGTATATACTTATTGTATTGTATATAGTTTTTCTTATATTAGTTATAACCTTTTCTTAATTTTTAGACAAAAAGGGGAATATGTAGTGATATCTTGTTGTACAAATAAAGCCTGTCTGAAGGTCAGAGAATGGAGCTTGTCACTAGCTAACCATAAAGGTCTGGAGGTCTGTACAGACAGACAGGAAGTGAGATGGCTGGGCAGAGAGAGGATATAATGGGGAAGCAACAGGAACTTGCTCTCTGGTCTGCTGAGATGCCAAGGAGGTAGAAGGTGGCTTTGGCTTGCTCCTTCTTCTCTCTGACCTCTCAGAATTTTCCTCTGTATCTGACTCCGGGTTTTTGTTATTTAGACCAATTAAGAACTCCATTTACACTAAGCCTTTATTTTTTTTTAAGTGATAGTTATGCAAGTAAATAGCGAACAGTATTACTGATAGTGTTTGCTGATTTTCAACTTTAAATTCTTCCAGTCGAACGACAACTTTCTCCTTGCTACTTATCGGTGCCAGGCAAATACCACCAGGCTGGAGCTCAAGGTAAATCGCTAGAAATTGCCTTTATTTCCATCTTGTTTTTATTTTTGGTGTTCAAGAACACTTTTTACAAGTTCTGGTTTTTAACTGTGTGTGTGCACACGTACATGTAGGCTCAGTGCTTTCAAAGGCCAGAAGAGGACTTTGCATGCCCTGGAGCAGACTTAGAGGCAGGTGTGAATCACCTAATGCGGGTGGCTGGGAACTGAACTCAGGACCTTTGGAATAGCAATACACGCTCATAACCACTCAGCCACCTCTCCAGCTTCGTTACCTTTATTTCTGGATGTTTGAACTCTCTTTTCCTTTGGTGTGTCTTACTTGTGATGTCATTTCTCTGCATTGAAATTCTCTGTGAAATGAATCATTTTGAAGTAACACTTTTAAAATGACCCGTTGGGTTTTAATTTATCCTGGCCACTGTATCTGTTGTTAGTATTCAGTCATTAACCATCTCTAAAATTACTGCTCTTGAAGTTTCCTCCAAGTGGGATTTTTTTTCTAGTTTTCTTTCATTTTGTCAGGGAAGAAGGTTGGTGGGGATGAGATCTGGTCTTACTTTGTTGCGCTGGCTGAACTTGAACTTTGACGATTAGTGGGAATTACAAATGTGGGTCACCATGCGCAGCTTTGCTGGTTTTTTATTTTGGAAATGATCCGAGCATGATGATCAACCCATGTCAATCTTGTTTTATGTCACTTGTGACCTAAAATCACTCTGAAGCAAATGCAATGTGTTTATGTTTAATTTGTAAAGATGTCAGCATATTTAAAAGATGAATGCTAAGTCAGGAGGTGGTGGCTCACACCTTTAATCCCAGCACTTGGGAGACAGAGACAGGCAGATCTCTTGAGTTTGAGGCCAGACTGGTCTACCGAGCAAGTTCCAGGACAACCAGGGCTGTTACACACACACACACACACACACACACACACACACACACAAAAACCCTGTCTTGGAAAAAATAAAACCAAACAGACAGCCAAAAAAAGATGAGTGCTCTTTTTAAAGAAAAAATGTAACATTATATAATACTATTTCAACAAAATTTGACAATAATTATTTTCAAATATAATGTGTAAAATGTACTGATCCGTTTATACACTCATGGTCTGTATGTAGAACTGTTAAAATTGTTCAGGGCAGGCAGAAAAGGCTGTGTCCCTTGAGCATTGCTCTGAAATGAAATCTCAGCAATTTTGTATAACATTCTTGGTGTTTGAATTCTAACCAGCTCTAACCAGCCATATTCAAAATATCCAGGAAGAACTTTTCAGTCTGGGTATAATTGGTACTAATATGCTTCTCTACTTACTTCCTGGAAACATCTGTGAACAGATTTTTTTAATTGACTTATTATTTATTTGTTTATTATTGGGTTGGGTTTTTTATTTTTTTGTTTATTTTTATTTTTTGGCTTTTTGAGACAGGGTTTCTCTGTGTAGCTTTGTAGATCAGGCTGGACTCGAACTCACAGAGATCCACCTGCCTCTGCCTCCTGAGTGCTGGAACTAAAGGCGTGCGCTACCACTCCCTGGCTTCTGTGAACAGATTTGTAGCAATATCTCTTAGAGATATTGTTCTGAGAAAGTATTCTAATTTAGTTTTAGTTATTTCAAAAATTAATTTCTCTATGCGCAGTTTTTAACCATTTTTCTTGTGACTCTTAAGTATATTATGCACTCGTCTCTTAAATGTGCAGGGTACACTTTGGGAATGATGCCTTCTCTTGGAATGATGTGGGAGTGAGAACATGGGAGAGATGAACTGAACATACATGATGGCGATCACTTGGAGGGTAATATTTGGTTAAAGACTGCCAAAGTCATTTAAAGTTTCCTGTACTCTTGCCATGGAAGAGTTCGACAGATGTCTCTTATCCCTCAGAGTAGTCCAGGAAAGGCTAGACACAAGTGTTTGATACCTAAGGGAACATCTGAAAACATATTTACACTGCTGACTTCTATGTTTTTCAGATTCGCTCAATTGAAGGCCAGTATGGCACACTTCAGGCGTATGTGACTCCGAGAATCCAACCAAAGACCTGTCAGGTTCGCCAGTACCACATCAAACCACTATCGCTCCATCAGAGAACTCACTTTATTGACCACGACAGGTAGGACATGGGAGAGAGTGCTGTATTCTTAAGTTATTACGCCTGCTTTTATTTTTACTTTTTACTATATCTTATTTACTCTATTTATGTAGGTATGTTTGTATGTATTATATATGGATGCACAGTGCCATGATGGGAGTGTAGAGGTCTGGTAACAGCTTTGGGGAAGTCAGCACCCTTTCTCCACTGTGTGAGTCTTAGGGGTTAACTCAGGTTGTGAGGTTTGACAGGAAGTGTATATACCTGCTGAGCCATCTCACCAACTCATGTCTGCATTTATTCATTTATTTGTTTATTTTTATTTTTTTACAGCAGGGTAGTAGTGGCACACACCTTTAATCCCAGCACTCGGGAAGCAGAGGCAGGTGGAGCTCTGTGAGTTCAAGGCCAGTCTGGTCTGCAGGGTGTGTTCCAAGACACCCAGGGCAACACAGAGAATCCCTGTCTCAAAAAACAAACAAAACAAAACAAAAGGCTTTTTACAAAATTTAATATTTTCATTTTTTCTATTTAGATGTTTATTCTTTGAGAATTGCATGCAGTATATTTTGGTCATATTTTTCCTGTTTCCCAACTCCCCTCAAATTTTCCCCCAAACTCCCTTTCCATCCAATTTCATGTACATAAAACAACGACAAAAAGCCAAATGAACTGGAGTATAGTTTGTCTTGATAGACTACTCTATAGCATGGGGCCACCCTGGTGTGTGGTTGATATACCCAGTGTCTTGGTTAAGGTTTCTATTGCTGTAAAGAGACACCATGACCACAGCATCTCTTACAAAGGAAATCATTTAATTGAGGTGACTTACAGTTCCAGAGGTTCAGTCCATTATTGCATGGCAGCTGGGAATATGGCGGTGTGCAGGCAGACATGGTCCTGGAGAATTCTGAATCGTGTTCCAAAGTCAACAGGCACTGAACCGTCTCACTAGGCATGACTAGTGCACATCTGAGACATCAAAGCTGGCCTCCACAGTGACACACCTCCACAAACAAGACCACACCTACTCCAACAAAGCCATACTTCCTAATAGTGTCACTCCACTGGCGGCCATTTTCTTTCAAACCACCACACCCAGTGTCACTCCATTGAAGAAGACTGATTTTTCTCTACCTCAGCAGCTGTCAGTTTCAAGTAGTTTCTTGACTAGGGGTGGGACTTCTTCTCTCTTCCCCTCTTCTATGCTGGGGTTTTGTCTGGCTTGCACTTGGGCAGGTCGAATGAATGCTGACACCATTTCTGAGAGTTCATATGGGCATCCATCCTGTTGAGTCTAGAAAAGCTGTTTCCTTGAAGTTATCCATCACTACCTCTGGCTCTTACTATCCTTTTTCTCCTTCTTCCACAAAGATCCTGGGGCCTTAAGGAGATGACCGTGTTACAGACATCCCATTTAGTGCTGAGCATTCCAAAGTCTCTTTTTCTCATCACACTGACTGGTTGTGGGTTTTTGTGTTAACCATCTATTGCAAAAAGAAGCTTTTCTGATGAGGGTTGAGCAATAGACCGATCTGTGGGAATAAATATGTCATTAGGAGTTGTTTTACTATGTTTCTTTGGTTCCTCTAGAACTCATGAATGTTTCTAACCAAGGTTCTTAGCCTCATTGATAGTGTCGGGTATAGGTTTCATCTCATGGAATGGGCCATAAATCCAATATTTTTAAAAAGTGGTTGGCTACTCCTATAACATTAAGGCAACAACTCAAAAAAATGAAATCCATTCTCGGTATTGGAGATTTTGTAGCATATTATGTCCAATTGAGGTATTGTATCCCCATTTAAGTGTGTGTGTGTGTGTGTGTGTGTGTGTGTGTGTGTGTGTTAGGAAGCTTCTACAATAGTAGGTTCCATATGGCTTTTTCAAAGGGCCTTTAGTGTTAGTTATCCTGCTCCATATTCCCTCTTATACCTGTCTTCCCATCCTCCCCAACTCCATTTAGTCCTCCTGTTCTAATCCCCCTTTAGCCCTATATGACACTGTATTTTATTTCCCTTTCCTTTGAGATCCCTTCCTCCCACCTGGTCCCTTACTAGCCACCTAACCTCTGTGGGTACTCTAAAGGAAACACACATACCTAAGGCATGTAATTGAATACACACATATGTGAGAAAACAGTAGTGATTGTCTTTCTGGGTCTGGGTACCTCACTCAGGATGATCTTTTCCGGCTCTATCCATTTACCTGCAACTTTCGCAATTCCATTTTTCTTAACAGCTGGATAATATTACTTGTGTGACTGTTAGTTGTGTCAACATTTAAAAGTTAAAAATTATTTTAACTATCTGGAACAAGGCAAGGCTGTCCCCCTCTCCCCATACCTCTTCAATATAGTACTCGAAGTTCTAGCTAGAGCAATAAGACAACAAAAGGAGATCAAGGGGATACAAATTGGAAAGGAAGAGGTAAAACTTTCACTATTTGCAGATGATATGATAGTTTACATAAGTGACCCAAAAAACTCTACCAGGGAACTCTTACAGCTGATAAACACCTTCAGCTAAGTGGCAGGATACAAGATTAACTCAAGAAAATCAGTAGCCCTACTATATACAGACAGTAAAAGGGCTAAGACAGAAATCAGAGAAACATCACCCTTTACAATTGCCACAAACAACATAAAATACTTTGGGGTAATGCTAACCAAGCAAGTGAAAGACCTGTATCGCAAGAACTTTGAGTCTTTAAAGAAAGAAATTAATGAAGACACCAGAAAATGGTAAGATCTCCCATGCTCTTGGATAGGTAGGATCAATGTAGTAAAAATGGCAATCCTGCCAAAAGCAATCTACAGACTCAATGCAATCCCTATCAAAATCACAGCACAATTCTTCATAGACCTTGAAAGAACAATTCTCAACTTTATATGGAAAAACAAAAAAATCTAGGCTAGGCAAGACAACCCTGCTCAATGAAGCAACATCTGGAGGCATCACCATCCCTGACTTCAAGCTCTATTATAGAGCTATAGTCCTGAAAACAGCTTGGTATTGGCACAAAAATAAACAGGTAGACTATTGGAATCGAATTGAATACCCTGAGATTAATCCACAAACCTATGAACAGCTGATTTTCAACAAAGAAGCTAAAATTACACAATTCAACAAATGGTGCTGGCATAACTAGATACTGGCAGGTAGAAGACTGCAGATAGATCCATGTCTATCACCATGCACAAAACTTAAGTCCAAATGGATCAAATACCTCAACATAAATCCAACCACACTGAACTTGTTAGAAGAGAAAGTGGGAGGTACCCTTGAAGGAATTGGTACAGTAGACTGCTTCTTGAGCACAACACCAGTAGCACAAACACTAATATCGACAATTAATAAATGGGGCCTGCTGAAACTGAGAAGCTTCTGTAAGGCAAAGGACACAGTCAGCAAGACAAAAAGGCACCCCACAGATTGGGAAAAGATATTCACTAACCCCACATCTGTCAGAGGGCTGATCTCCAAAATTTACAAGGAACTCAAGAAGCAAGTCTCCAAAACACCAAAGGATCCAATTAAAAAGTGGGGGATTGAACTAAGTAGAGAATTCTCAATTGAGGAGTCTAAAATGGCTAAGAGACACTTAAGAAAGTGCTCAACATTCTTAGCCATTAGGGAAATGCAAATCAAACAACTCTGAGATATCATCTCACTCCTGTCAGAATGGCTAAAATCAAAAACTCCAATGAGTTTATGTTGGAGAGGATGTGGAGAAAGGGGAACACTCCTCCATTGCTGGTGGGAGTGCAAACTTGAACTGCCAGTTTGGAAATCAGTATGAAGTTTCCTCAGGAAAATGGAAATTAGTCTACCACAAGACCCACCAATTCCACTTCTTAGGCATATACCCAAAAGATGCCTATTCATACAACAAGGAGGTCTGTTCCACTATGTTCATAGCAGCATTATATGTAACATCTAGATCCTAGAAGCAACCTAGAAGCCCCACAACTGAAGAGTGGATAGAGAAAATGTGGTACATTTACACAGTGGAGTACTATTCAGCGGAAAAAACAACAATGGAATCTTGAAATTTGCAGGCAAATGGATGGCACTAGAGGAAACCATCCTGAGTGAGGTCACAAAAAGACAAACATGGTATATACTCACTCATGTATGGATTTTAGACATGGATGAGGGGAGTGTCAGCCTACAATCCCAGTGCCAGTGAGTCAGGAAATCAGGGAGGTTCCCCAGAGAAGTGGAATGAGCCAAGATCTCCTGAGCAGATTGGGAACATGGGGGGAGGGGAGAGGGAGCCAGGAAAAAGAGAGGGGGATAAGAGGAGGGGAGAAGAAGGCATGGGGGAGCAGGAAGGTTGAGTCGAGGTAAGAATAGAGGAGAGCAGGATGAGAGATACCATAATAGATGGAGTCATAATAGGTTTGAGGAGAGAGCTGACACTAGTGAGATCTCCAGAGATCTACAAGGATAACACCAACTGGCAAACTAAGCAATAGTGGAGAGACTACATTAATAGCCCCTCCTTGATGATAAGGTTGATGACTACTTTATATGCCATCCTAGAACCTGCAGCCAGTGACTGATAGAAGCAGAGACAGATACCCATAGTTAAACACTGAACTGAACTCCTGGAACCCAGTGACAGAGATGGAGGAGTGATGAGCAAAGGGGTCAAGACCATGATGGTGAAACCCACAAAGACAGCTGACAGGACAAGGGGGAGCCCTTGAACCCCAGAATGATGACTGAGAGGCCAACAGGGGATTGATCCAGACTCCATGAAAGTAGTGTCAATGAGGAGGCCTCGGAAATCTCTGGGGCCTTGGGTAGTAGATCAGTGTTTACCATGGCATGCTAATGAACTTTGGGAGCCCATTCCACATGGAGGAATGCTCTCCCAGCCTGGACACATAGGGAGGGGCCGAGGTCCTGCCCTGGATGAAATGACAGACTCTGGAGATTCCCCCAAGGAGGGCCTCACCCTGCCTGGGGAATGAGGTGGGGATTGGGTGGGGGGCTGGTGGAGGGGCAAGGGAGGAGGGGTGGGAGAGGGAGCTGGGCTTGACATGTGAAGCATGCATGCATGTTTCTAAGACATAATTTATTTTAATAAAAATTTTAAAAAATATTTTAACTTACATGCTCAGTAATTAGCTATGGCTTTGATATTTCTAATAAAATAAAGATACTTTGCCTTATTTTAGCAGCTGTGTTGAGTTAGACTTCCTGTCATCCATTGCCATTCTGAGATCACTGAAGTAGCAGTTTCCTTAAACACCTATCTTGAGCAAATAGTGTTTAGCATTTAGATGTCACAGTGGTTCCCTATGAACCTCTGCACTGTATTAACCTCAGCATCACATTCCCCTCTGTTGCACCTCAAGTAGTAGTGGTAGAGCAGTCAACTATGATAGTTCCTGATACTTCTAATGTAAGCATCTTAATGCTGATAGGTTTTTTGGTTTTTTTTTCGAGGCAGGGTTTCTCTATAAAACAGTCTTGTCTGTACTGGAATTCACTCTGTAGACCAGGCTGGCCTTGAACTCACAGAGATCCACCTGCCTCTGCCTCCTGAGTGTTAGAATTAAAGATGTGCGCCACCACCACCTACCAATGCTAATAGTTTATTGAGACAAGATAACATGGGATTAAGCAAAAGAAAAAAGGAAAGGAAAGAGATAAACAGTAATTCGATATTTTATGGCATGTATTTGGTCAGGTACATATATATTTTCTGTTATTTTAAAATATTTTATTAGCATATATTACTTTTACATAATAATAGGTTTATTATGAAACTTTTTACATGTTCATAATGTATTTTAATCATATTCTTTTGGTATTTTTTTTTTTTTTGTATTTTGAGACAGGGTTTCTCTGTATTATTTTGGAGGCTGTCCGGGAACTCGCTCTGTAGACCAGGCTGGCCTCGAACTCACAGAGATCCGCCTGCCTCTGCCTCCCGAGTGCTGGGATTAAAGGAGTGCGCCACCACCGCCTGGCTTTAAATCATCTTCTTTCTTGCGCACTAACTCCCTTCCTCTCCCCAATTGCCTTACCTCCTATCCCCATTCTACTTCGATGTCTGTGTGTGGGAGCCAGCTAGATTCATTACGGTTGTTTACAAACGTGGGCACCTTCCTCATCAAGCTTTAACTTTTTGTGTGTCCTTGTTCTGTGACATGATATTGATGGCCCAGGCTTCTGCAAGTTACCATGACTACTATGAGTTCAAGTGAAAAACAAACAGCCATGTCATGCTCCTAAATATTACGACTTGATTCTTTTTTTTTTTTTTTTTTTTTTTGGTTTTTCGAGACAGGGTTTCACTGTATTGTTTTGGAGCCTGTCCTGGAACTCACTTGGTAGACCAGGCTGGTCTCGAACTCACAGTGATCCGCCTGTCTCTGCCTCCCGAGTGCTGGGATTAAAGGCGTGGGCCACCACCGCCCGGCAGTAGCCTACTTTTTAATACAAGAACCAGAGTTATGGTTAGAAGCCAAGGCCCATGTTCTTCCTAATGCAATTTGCACATTAAAGGTTGTATAATTGGAGTAAGATAAAGGGGAACGTTTCCTCAGGAAATTTTCTGGGAAACATTAAAATAATTCCTTTTTGGTCATTTTTCTGTTTCATGTTAAACCTTGGGGCCTATTCCTGAACTGTATCCTGAGACTTTTTTTTTTTAATCTTTTGAGGCAGGATCTCACTGAGTTGCTCAGGCTAGTCTTAAACTTGCAATCCTCATGTGGTAGCCTTCCACATAGCTAGAATTAAAGATGTGGCCACCAGGTATGGCTGAGAAATAGTCTTTTTTGGTTGCATTTTTTGTTTAAAAGCCAAGGTTAACATTAATGGGCACAGCATTTCCATGGAAGGAACAGCAAACACTGGCAATCAGAGACTTGGGTTCTCTTACATTCTTGTGTGATTTGTTATTTCTCTGGGTTGTAGGTTTTTCATCTGCAAATCAGAGGATTGCTTGACCAGATCTCAAAAGTCCCTGCTAGCTTTGTCTTTGGAACATGCTTCTGTTTCCTACTGAAGTTCCTTGTGGTGTGCTTTAGACCTTCTTAGCTCTTCATAAATACCATCTGTTTTAAAACTCTTTTTGGTTGATTGATTGATGATTATGTTTTTAAGATAGGTTCATACAAGCCGGGCGGTGGTGGCGCACGCCTTTAATCCCAGCACTCGAGAGGCAGAGGCAGGCGGATCTCTGTAAGTTCGAGACCAGCCTGGACTACCAAGCGAGTTCCAGGACGGCCTCCAAAGTCACAGAGAAACCCTGTCTCAAAAAAACAAACAAACAAACAAACAAAAAAAAAGATAGGTTCATACAAGTCCATGCTGGCCTTGAGTCAAATCTTCCTGTCTTAGCCTCCTGAGTGCTGTGATTACCATATGTGAGCCACCACTCCTGGCTTGATTTATTTTTCAATCTCTCCCTTACTTTATTCTATTAATTTATAGAAGTTGTTAAACTAAATCCATGAAAGATAGAAGGTACTGTTTTCTGGCTTCACTGGGACACAGCTGGTAAAGAAGAGAGCAAGAATCCCTGCCTGCCCTACCTCAAGCCCAGTTGTTCAGGGTTACAATATGTTGATTATTTCCTGGAGGTGATTCATATGTGTTTTGTAGTCTATGTAATACAAATACTACATGGATTTTCAAACCTGCAAAGCTACCTGAATAACCTCAGTTTAATTTATTAAAACATGTTATGATGAACAAAAAAGCTATTCACATCACCTAACTGCAAGGCACCTAGCAAAAACAAGTATAGGTGTTAACAAGAATTCAGATTTTTATCTGTAAAATTAACATGTTCATTTGTTTGATGTGTAGGATTGACTTCAGAAACTTTTTAAAAACTGTTTATTTAAAGCTGCGAGTGGTAGCGCGTGCCTGTAATTCTAGCACTTGGGAGTGTAGAACAAGCTGGCGTGCATGTGGGGTTAGCCTGGGGTGAATAAAGTGTTTAGCTCTATTTGGAGTTCTGCTTACAAGTGTACATGTATAGTATTTTCGTGGGTCCACACACAAGTGCATGTCTCTGCTGCTAAATTGCAGACCCATGAACACACTGACTCTAACAGGCCAGTTCAGCTTCGCTGAAGTTCACTCCTGGGTGGTGTTCTGCCTGCCTGAAGTTCCTGAAAAGCCTCCAGCAGGAGAATGTGCAACATTTTACTTTCAGAATACCTTTCTGGATACACAACTTGAGTGCGTATACAGGTAAATCAAACTTATTACTTGTTAACAATGGTCATTTAAAACAGGAATAATTTCAAAATAATAGTTAAAAATTGATAATATTCAACAGAAGCTACTAAACAAATAGAATTTGAGTGTAAAATGTTATTAGTAAAGATGCCTATGCAAAGATTAATATTTTCCAATAATATGTCTATAAAATCTGCAGTAATATTTGAATTATAATTTCCTACAGTTTTCACATGGAATGTTCTAAAGATGTCTGTTAAACCCATTAAATCTATGATGTCTTTTAAGATGTCTCTATTTTTTGCCCTAATGATCTGTCAATCAATGAGAATGGGGTATTGATGTCTCCAGCTATTATTGTGTTGGGCTGACTTATCTGTGACTTTACCTGTGTTAGTATTTGTTTTGTGAGATAGAATGGACCCATGTTGAGTTCATGCATGTTCAGAATTGTAATGTCCTCTTGACAGATTGTTTCTTTAATCAGTATGGAGTTAATTTTTTTTTTACCATTTCTGACTAGTTTTGGTTTAAAAATCTATTTTGTCAGATTTCAGAGCAGTGACAGCTGCTTATTGGTTCCTCTCTGCTTAGGATAAGTGTTTCCTTCCTTCTACCTTCTAGTAGCCTCTGTCTTTGATGGTGAGGTCTGGGCTTTAGAGACAACAGGTAGATAGATAGATCCTGCCCTTAAGTCCCTTCTGCTAGTCTGTGACTGGTGAAGGGAAATTGAGAGCATTAATATTTAGATTTACAACTGAAAAGTTTGTATTATTCCTGTCCATTTGTTGATTTTGCAGTACTTTCCTGTTTAACTATTATTACTCAAGAGTGGTTTATTCTTCCCTTGAGGCCCCATTGGGGATGTTTGTCTTTCTTCAGTCACAGAATTCCTTCAAGCATCTTCTGTGAGTTGGCTTAATGGTCACGATGAATTGTTTTTTGTTTGGCTTGGTTTTTTTGTTTTGTTTTGGTTTTGGTTTATTTATTTATTTTGGTTTTTGAGACAGGGTCTCTCTGTATACCAGCCCTGGCTGTCCTGGAACTCACTCTGTAGATCAGGCTGGCCTCGAACTCACAGAGATCTACCTGCCTCTGCCTCCAGGGTGCGGGAATTAAAGGCGTGAGCCACCAACACCCAGCATACAAATTGTTTTTATTATGGAAAATTTTTCTTGCCCCTTCAATTGTGATGAATTTGCTGGGAGTAGTAGTCTGGTTAAGTTATTCTTTTCAAAACTTGAAAATTTTAAGTTTTCCAGCTTTTTAAAGTATCTCTTGAAAATTCTGCTGTAGTTGATCAGTCTGCCTTTATATATGACTTGATGATCCTGTCTTGCCACTTTCAATGTCTTTTCTTTGTTTTGAATATTTAGTGGTTTAACCATATATATATATATATATATATATATATATATATATATATATATATATAATGACAAGGGCAAGTTCTTTTCTGGCCCTGTCTGCTTGGCATTCTAACTGCCTCTGTATTTGCATAGCCATTTCTTTCTCAAACTTAGGAAAACTTTTCTGCTATGATGTTGTTGAGACTGTTTTCTATGTCTGTGAAAAAGAATTCTTTAATTTCCATGATTCTTGAAATTTTCATTGTTTCCCAAATATCTGAAAGTGCAGTGTGAACCATATTAATTTATCCTCATCCTTGGCTGGATGTTCTGATTCCTGGGATTACAAGTGTGCTCCATTTTTCCTGACATGGGAAGTAGAGTTTTCTAAAGAAAACTAAGTGTCCTGGGATCATAACTAGTGGCAGTGGATACTAGTCCTGAAAAATAACAGGTGTCTTTCTTTCAGGTTGGATACCAGATTTATTTTACAGATAAAGCATACAGCAATATAAAATTTATTTGTGTGATTACATTAAAGAAAAACATACTTACATGTGTCTGTATAAATAAGCAATTGTGAATATATTTTATATATGAGGTTAGCTATTGGCAATGTTAATGTCCACAAAGTAAAGTTTTAAGTGGGGTACTTAAAAATTCTCATCTTAAGAGGACTGTGTGTGATAGGATCTTTAGTTTTGAGTTCAGGAGCTGCCTTGGTGTGGTAAAGGACAGAGTACATGTTTACGTATGCTTTATGTTAATGATATACACAGACCGTGTAAAGTCAAATGAAATTTAAACTAAACACTATGTGAAAATATGTATTTATAAGACCACTTGCTTCTATAACTTTTCTTTTAAATATGTTGATTTTGTAGAAAAGGAGAAGGAGTTTTTAAATCTGACAATATTTCTACAATATCTATCCTAAAAGATGTACTTTCTAAAGAAGCTACCAAAAGGAAAATTAATCTCAACATATCATATGGTAAAAAAGGAAAATAATTCATCCCAGTTTTTTATAGTTGTTATAATAGCAATGTTTCTCATGAACATGACTTAACTGTGCCCTGCCAACTTCTTCTAGAGATAAACGAAGTGTCAGTCAAGCACACTTTGAAGCTAATCCACCCAAAGCTGGAGTATCAGCTGCTTCTGGCTAAGAAAGTGCAGTTAATTGACGCCTTGAAGGTAAGACTGCGTCCGTGAGATTGTGAGCATCATTGCTAGCACTGCGTTTTCCAGTTATACTTTAATGTTATATTAGATTAAAATTTGACCATTAAGGTCCTTCTGTTTTTGTTTTTGTTTTTGAATAAGGAATTGCAAGTTCACGAGGGAAATACGAACTTTCTGATTCCAGAATACCGCTGCATTCTAGAAGAGGCAGATCACCTGCAAGAAGAGTACAAGAAGCAGCCTGCTCATCTTGAAAGGCTCTATGGTGAGTGGACCTTGGAGCATCCCTGCTGCAATTCTTTCCAGCAGCTCATTTACCAAAGAGCTGTGAAAGGACGAGGCAGAAATCCCCGCAGTCATGAGCCTGTGGCAGCCAGTTTATCGTACAGAGTATTTCTGTATTCGCCAACGTAGCCTTACAGCTTAACCGTTTCTACTTTAAAAGTGTAAGGAAAGCCGGGCGGTGGTGGCGCACGCCTTTAGTCCCAGCACTTGGGAGGCAGAGGCAGGTGGATCTCTGTGAGTTCGAGGCCATCCTGGTCTACAAAGTGAGTTCCAGGAGAGCCTCCAAAGCAATACAGAGAAACCCTGTCTCGAAAAACCAAAAAAAAAAACAAAACAAAACAAAAAAAAAACCCAAAAAACAAAACCAAAAACAAAAAAAGTGTAAGGAAATATGAAAGTGGAACTGTCCTGTGAACATATATGTGTACTGTGAAGAAGTGTTTTGACCCTCAAAGCCTAGACATCCCCACTGTATTTCTCACAGATGATTTTCAGGTTCTGTTGCTGTTGTAAAAATGCAGCATTTATTCTATTTAGGCAAAACTTGGTGGGGAAGTTTATGTGATGTTTAAATTTTCAGTTTAAACTTGTTTTGCTTGGTGGTGAGGAGTCAGGTGAGAAAAGGCCAAGGGAAGTGAAGGCAGAGATGGAAAGAGGGAGGGTGGAAAAGAGGACCAGACTAAGGTTTGTTAGCAGTCCTTCTTTCTGGAAGACCTACTGTGTGCAGCACACTACACTGACTTCCATGAGATTTTTTAACCGTTGCAACAGTTCAACAAGGTAGATGGTTTTATCTTCATTTTCAACATGCTGTAGCTGAACATGAGAATAAAATTTGTCATCACATTCCTAGGTGGTGACAAAGCCTTAATTAGGACCTTCTCTCCCTGAAATGGATGCCTTCTGCCCTGTGCCAATGTCATTTGCTACCAACAGCCCACATTGATCCATTAACCTACACACTTAATGAATAATAATGATACTTTAATGTTTATTATATGTCAAGCAGAGGATCTCTTTTATAATATCCTTAAGTGATGGTGTTGTAGATCTATCATCTCTATCTGTGATTCCAAAATCTAGAAAGTGGTTTTGAAAACCAAAGTTTTACTTTTATAAACCATTTACCAGCAAAATGATTTCATGATAAAAATCTGATTTAAACTGACACGTTATTGCTAATCTTTTTTATTTTTCTTAGTGCAAAAAGTATCTCCACCTATATATTTTATTGCAAAAGTATTGCCATTTTGATATCAGATGTCGCCACTCAGTCCCTTTGGATCAATGCCACCCGTTTATTCTTTTTCTCCTTTTTCTATTCCTAAAATACACTTGTCTCAGGTGTCTTGTATAAATGATTGACAACTTAGACCATCCCTGTTTTACATCTGGGAAACTCACAGGTGAAATAATTTGCCCTTGACCTATGAATCCTTAACCGTGGAGGTGGAGTGTTTTAGTTCAGTCGAAGCTTCTTGGTGGAACTGACATCACTACGATGAAGTGTGTACCAACAGCGATTCAAAATGGCTGGCAGTGGATTGTGTGAGTCAGCAGTTACAACCAGTTGTTAGGAAGGTTATTAAATATTTATATCTTGAAAGTTTCTTAAAACCCTCCCCACATACACAATTTTTTTTTTGAAGACCAACCTTTTCAAGGCTTGTATATCTTGTATAAAGGAATTTTGGGTGATTATAGAGTACCAACTGCATTGTTAAAGAACTAATCAATGACAAAAGAAATATTTTTCTTTATAGGTATGATCACTGATCTTTTCATAGATAAATTTAAGTTCAAAGGCACTAACGTAAAAACTAAAGTACCCGTTCTACTGGAGATTCTTGACAGCTATGACCAGAACGCACTGATTGCTTTCTTTGATGCGGCGTGAAAGATAAACAAGGTAGGGCCTACAGTACAGTCTCCTAACAAAAAGTGCTGAGGAGAAGCCACACTCTCAATACAAAGAACATCTGTTCCAGCACTCGGGAGGCAGGGCCAGGGGAATCTCTGTGAGTTTGAGGCCAGCCTGGTCTACAAAGCAAGTTCCAGGACAGCCAGAGCTATGCAGAGAAACCCTGTTTCAAAAAAAAGAAAAATCCAAGCAAACAAACTAAGTAGAATGATTATAAGAGCTACTAATGACTTTTGGGGGAAGTGATATTTTAATTTCTAAATTGAGAATTGGAAAATAAGATGTATCACTTTTATAAATTACATGTAAGTGTACAAACTTCATGTTTCATAATGTATTTTCCCTTTATATATATCACATTACTTGCTTGCTCTTCCTGACTGTTCTGTAAACTCATCAGCCACTTAAGTGAAGCTGATTCAAGTAAGATGCTATGCTAGTATTTCATAAGGCTGAGACAAACTTATATGTATACCCCGTTCCTCTCTGTTATCACATGCTAGTATTTCATAAGGCTGAGACAAGCTTATATGTACACCCCGTTCCTCTCTGTTATCACAGGTGGAAATAACGCCCCCCCCCCGCAGGATTTGGAATGGATTCACACCCCATTTCTCTCTTACTTGGTGACCGACATGATCCTCCTGCAGTTTGTGAAATATTTGACTTAGTGCTGTGGAGTACGGCCAGAGAAGGAAGCAGAAGGCAGACTGCAGGGATCCCAGATGTACTCCTGTTTGTAACCAGTGAGCTTAAAGTGATCAGGTGAAGAGCAGTGCTTCTTAGATTCCTGTACTAGTATTCATTTGCAGGGGAACATTGTATTTAAAGCTTAAAAATATTATTATAAGATAATGGAAAATTGCTGTTTCTTGTTTTCAAAGAATAGAGTTATGAAATTTTCAGAAACTGATAATTACATTGTGTTATATTTTATGTGCAATCCTTAAATATTAAATGTGAATATATAAGGCACCTATGTTGGGTCTTTAATAAGATTATAGTATTTTTTTCCTTATATTTTCGGGAGACTTTCTTTGGACACCCAGGGCCCTGCTTTTCATATGAATATTTTTTTTTTGAGACAGCGTCTCACTTTGTAGCTGGCTTGGAACTAGCTATGTAGGCCTAGCTGGCCTTGAACTAACTCAGTGATGCAGAGCTCTGGGATTAAAGGTTATGTGCCACCATGCACTTCATTTCTAAATGTAGTATCTATTTGGGTCCATGGGACTTCGTGGTGTGCTGTTTGTTGGATGTCATAACCAAGGATGAACAAAATTACTTAACTTCTTGTAATACACCATTTCGTTTAATGGTTATCAACAATAGCTTAAGTTGGTATTCTAAATTCATCACGTCTCTTATGGGAGGGGAAACAAGAAGCGTACTGGAAAGTCGGGCATAGTGACACAAGTTGGTGAGGCAGTGGCTGGCGGAGGTCTGTGAGTTGTTAAACCCTGTCTCAACAACAAACAAAAAATATGTACTGGAGACGTGATGCAACAGTAAACAGTAAAAGCACTAGAGGTTCCTGAGTTCCACGGGCAGCACCACCGAGAGAGCAAAGGAAAAAGGAGTGTTCTGGTAGCGGCGGAATTCCGTGCGCTCTTCCTAAGCTCCGCCCAGCGACGAGGGAAGTTGATACTCCCGCTGGTAGACCAGAACGCTGTCACTTCGAGGCCCGAGGGCTCGTCAGTCCCGCCCGGCTGCTCGGGCGGGATCCAGTGAGCCGCCGGGTTACAGACGCGCTCCGCTACGGGAAGTCGCCCGAGGCTGGCGCCCACCCCGCCCTTCCCCGCGCAGGCGCGTCCTCGGGCGCCCGCCCAGCTAGGTTCCCGTCGGGCCTTCGCTCGCGGCGCCCCGGCGCTCTGGTGACGTCACGGGCCCCGGGCGCCCTCATTGGTCCATTTCAATAGTCGCGGGCTACTTGAACTGCACGAACAGCCGGCGGCCGGCGCGCTGCTCGCGGCACCTGGGCTTCGCTCCTCCCGCCCGCAGCGCCTGCTCCGCGCGTCGGCCGCCAGGGTCCCGCGCAGCCCGGGAGCGGCGGGCGCAGTGCACGCTCTGCCGCCGACGGATCCCGACCGGAGCCGCGATGCCGGGCAGCTCGAGACAGTCGGGTCGCGAGGCGGGCTCTGCCCTGCTCTCGCTGCAGCAGGAGGACCAGGAGAATGTCAACCCCGAGAAGGCGGCTCCAGACCAGCGGGCGCGGGCGGCCCTGAAGACCGGGAACGCGCGGGGAAACGCACCGCAGCAGAGACTCAAGGCTCGGCGGGTAAAAGGGCGCGAGGCTCGGTGGGAGGGCCGGGCGGGAGCCGGCCTGGTGGAGCAGCCGAGGGGGCCTGAAAGCACGCTGCGCTTTCTGGTGGGAGTCGGGCTGCAGCCTGTGTGGTCCCGGAGTTGTAACATCAAACAGCCACAGCAGCCCTGCCGTGTGTGCTGCCCTCCAGCACTAGAGGAGACTTCTTTCCAAAAGTGCCCGGAGTCATCCCGAGCGATGCCCCCCGCGGGTCGACTTCGCCCAGCTGTGTGCCTTTCCCTCCACTTTTAAAGACGGGCATTGCCGTGGGATCCCTTCCCCCTCACCATCTGCTTCGCAGATTACCTCTATTTCAGAGAAGGAAAGATAGAAAGCAGTATTTTGTTTGACAAATCCGCCATTTTAGCCAGACCTGTATCTTTGCTCCACCCTGGAGCTAAAGTTGTGAATCAATACTTTCCCCTAAACTTAAACCCTTGACCGGTTGGTAGTTCCAATCAGTTCTATTTATAGCCTATGTAGGAATGGCTGTGACAAACCGGTTCACCCTTTATCTTGGATTACTCAAACTATTACTTATCTGGGCTTTGCCTTAAGAAGTGTATTTTTCCTGACATAGTATTTGGGGAAAAAAGCTGAGAGCCGCGGGGCAAGAAGGCAGAATTCTTTTTAAAAATTGCTTTTTAGGTTGCACCTCTTAAGGACCTTTCTATAAACGACGAACATGTCGCTAGTGGTCCTTCATGGAAAGCAGCCAGTAAACAGCCCGCCTTCACTATCCATGTGGACGAAGAAGAGGACACCCAGAAAATCCCACCTGAGCACAAAGAAATGCGGTGTGAAGATGCCCTGGCCTTTAATGCTGCTGTCTCTTTACCTGGGGCAAGAAAACCACTGGTACCTCTTGATTATCCAATGGATGGCAGCTTTGGTAAGGGTTTTGCTTTTTATTTTTGAGACAGGGTCTCAATATGTAGCTCTGGCTAGTCTTGAACTCAAATCTTCCTGCCTCAGGCCTGTGACACCATACCCTGCTTGGTACTTTTTAAAGATCTTTATGAAACTTAAGAAATTAGTTACTTCATTGGGTTAGTGATACTAGTTTTAAGGCTGTCGTTTTGTTTTGTTTTTCTAGACAGGGTTTCTCTGTTTAGTCCTGGAACTTGACTTGTAGACCAGGCAGCCTCTCTCTCTCTGAGTGCCATGTTTAAAGGTGTATGCCACCACGCCCAGCTACGACTGTCATACCTGGTCATAACACAGTGAGTTAGGATTACTGCAATGAACTTAAAAGGGTATCTTAGATCTCATGGCTAATACTCAGACCTACTGACCTACAAAAGGACTCATCCTTAACAGACAGGGAGGGCAATTTTAATTAGATTTGGGGGGGGGGGTTGAGGCAGGGTTTCTCTGTTTTGTTTTGGAGGCTGCTTTGTAGACCAGGCTGGCCTCGAACTCACAGAGATCCGCCTGCCTCTGCCTCCGGAGTGCTGGGATTAAAGGTGTGCATCACCAACGCCCGGCCTTTTAATTAGATCTTAAATGCTTATTTTAATCTGACTTCATAAATGCTTGGTTGGGAGAATAAATTACAGTTGTATTTATGACTCGCTTCTTAACATGCCACTCCCTGAGAGTGCTGCTTGAAGCTACAGTAAAGCATTATGGAGCTGGGCGGTGGTGGCGCACGCCTTTAATCCCAGCACTTGGGAGGCAGAGGCAGGCGGATCTCTGTGAGGTCGAGGCCGGGCTGGACCGATAGCCTCCAAAACAATACAGAGAAACCCTGTCTCATAAACACCCCCCCCCCCCCAAAAAAAGCATTATGGTGTCTGCCGTCCCTTTTAAGTTAATTTGAATGTTCATCTGATTCAGGTCAGACACAGATGCACAAGGAACACGGAGCAGCAGCTGCAGACAGCTCTGCTGTTGCTGTGATCTCACTGTATGGAGACCAAAGGTGTACTTGACTTTGGGATATCTTTAACTACTTTTCCATCTCATTTCTTGATACAAGTTCTCATTGGAGGTCATTGGTTTGACTAGACTGTTGGCCATCAAGCTTCAGGAATCTGGCTATTCTCAACCCTCTTTCCTTTCCTTCCCTGTCTTAGGGTTACAGATATGCCACATCTAGTTTCTGTGTGGTTCTGGGAATACAACCCACATCTTCATGCTTGTACAGCAGGCACTATACCAAGCCATCTCCCCAGCCCCCTTTATTTAGTTCTACTGGTGGGACAGAAGGGTATAGAAATAATTTATTTTTATATAAGTTTTGTAGCTTTTTCTTAACTCAGTGTGCTCTAAAAAAATGGAAATTCGTTACCTCGAAGATAATTTAAATGGTAAAAACTACAACTGAGTGTGTGCATGCCTGAACTAACATGCAGGACACAGGCAGGACTGCCAGCCTGGGCTACAGAATGAGACCTTGTTCTGTTTACAAACACCAAGTCCCTTACAGACTACAGTTAGTCTGTTTGAATGCATGTGACAAACTTGCTATCTTTACTGATGTTTGTTAATACATTTAGCTGATTCTCTACTCCTTGATTGTGATTTGAATGTCAGTCTCTGAGACCTACCATCTCTTTTAAGACAAAACGATAATTATTTCAAAACTTTAAGGATTCTGCTCTAACAGAACCACTGTACCATCTATTCATCTCATGTGGAAGATGATATTTAAGGTACTTTTCAGTCTTAGTCACCTATTGGTGGTATATTTCATTTATTTATATTCATATTTATAAATATATAAATAATTATATTTCTTTTTTGGAATTAAGTTCATCCTAAGCTATGGGGACAGAAATACTAAGACCGGAATAGGATACTCTGTGCTGCTTTGCCTGAGGGTCTTTTTAGTTGGGAAAAATAAATACTTTGATTTTAATATCATACACAGAATCACCACATGCTATGGATATGTCCATTGTCTTAGAAGAGGAAAAGCCAGTGAGTGTTAATGAAGTACCCGACTATCATGAAGATATTCACACATACCTTAGGGAAATGGAGGTAAGGTTCTGTTAATTAAAAATGACTTAATAAGCTGGGTGGTGGTGGTGGTGGTGGCAGCAGCGGTTCACGCCTTTACTCCCAGTACTCAGGGGGCAGAGGCAGGCTGATCTCTGAGTTTGAGATCAGCCTGGTCTACAAGTTCAGGACAGCCTCCAAAGCCACAGAGAAACCCTGTCCCGAAAAACCAAAAAAGAGAGAGGGAGGGAGAGATAGACTAAGTAAAATTGAAAGGATAATGTTGACATCTAATAACTAGTGAGTTACTCTAATGCTAAACTTAAGCTTGTGATTGGTAAAGTACCCTAACTGAAGTTTTAATACTACTGAGTTTTTCTTCAGATTAAATGTAAGCCTAAAGTGGGTTATATGAAGAAACAGCCAGACATCACTAACAGTATGCGGGCCATCCTTGTGGACTGGCTAGTTGAAGTGGGAGAAGAATATAAATTGCAGAATGAGACCCTGCATTTGGCTGTGAACTACATTGATCGGTTCCTCTCTTCCATGTCTGTGTTAAGAGGGAAGCTTCAACTTGTGGGCACTGCTGCTATGCTGCTAGCTTCGTAAGTACAGCCAATTTAGTTAGTCATTACACACTACCCCCTTTATTTATACTTTATTGGGCGCTTTCCCTGCAAGAATATCTTTGTAGCACATGTATACAGTGCCTGCTGAGGCCAGAAGAGGACACTAGATCCCCAGACTGGTGTTAAAGACAATTTTATGAGCCACTCACTATGCTGGTGCTGGGAATCAAACCTGGGTCTCAGCCTGTGCTCTAACTATTGAGCAATTTCTCCAGCCCCACTTACTATTTTATAATGGAAAGGATAAATTAAGATTTCCAGCTCTCGAATTCGAGGCCGGGCTGGACCGACAGCCTCAAACAATACAGAGAAACCCTGTCTCGTATTTTAACACTGACAGCTTTAGGGACGACTGGGCTGGGTGAGCTTCTGGGAGTAGAGGAGGAAACTTGTTTTCTGACCTAGAACATAAAACTTTCTAGATATGGGTTTCATATGCCTTGAATGGGCACAGACCATCTACATTTTAGCAGGCTAGATCATTAGAGTTTTAAAAAAACTCTTCCACAATCAAAGTGCTTACTGGAGTATCTTCCCTCCATCGGGACAAAAAAATGTTTAAAAGTAAGGCATTATTTTCTCAAAACTGTAGATCATCTAAATTTTCAGGTACTCTGTCCTTGTTCTCCATGTTTTTAAAGTTATGTTATTTCCTTCGACTACATGGGAGACACACCAGAAGCCTCTTACTAATTGGCTGTTAAATCATCTCAACTGGAGATGTAGTCAGCTGCTAGTGGGAATGTAGCTGATGGAAGTGACTCTTGAGTCTGTATAGCCCAAGCATTTTAGATTAAGACAAAGCCTTCTTTGGGAAAAACTCACTTAAAATTTCTTTTGTTGTAGAAAATTTGAAGAAATATACCCCCCAGAAGTAGCAGAGTTTGTGTATATTACAGACGATACCTATTCCAAGAAGCAGGTTCTGAGAATGGAGCACCTAGTATTGAAAGTCCTTGCTTTTGACTTAGCTGCACCAACAGTAAATCAGTTTCTTAACCAGTATTTTCTGCACCAGCAGCCTGCAAACTGCAAAGTTGAAAGCTTAGCGATGGTAAGTTCATTTTATGGGTTTTTTTTTTTCTTCCCTTTTTTGGTTATGATTAGCCCTGGTTCTGTGGTATAGTGTTGTAAGTATTGTCAGGCAGTTAATGTTCCAATACACAAAAAAACCTATAGCTAGCAGAAGGCATTAAAGGTAACTCAATAAGTATAGTAACTACCTATATACTAGATAAGTATAGCTCTAAACACACAGTGCCACTATTTACTTACTGTTTATTAGATATTATAAGTAATTTAGTGATACTCTAGGTATATAGCACTAGTTTGTGTGAAAATGGTGTACCTTTTATATGTCAGGTACTTAAATATTTGGTGTCCCTGGGAAGGGGCTGAGAGGCCCAGGAGAGAATTTCCCCAGGGATACCCAGAAGTGACCGTGCTAGAAAAATACTAACTAGTGGTTTAAAGAGAACATCCTGGTAGATTTTTTTTAAGTTCTAAGGGGGCAGAAATGTAAGCTGAGGATGGAGCAAAGCATTGGACTATTTTTCCCAGGGCTGATACAGAACCAGGGAGCATCACAGAAAGGTAAAACCGGTCAGGATGCAAGGGTTCAAAGTGTGAGTCTTAGAGCTCTTGTGATTATAGTTGTTTTTCCCTTCCAGTTTTTGGGAGAATTAAGTTTGATAGATGCTGACCCATACCTAAAGTATTTGCCATCACTTATTGCTGGAGCTGCCTTTCACTTAGCACTCTATACAGTCACAGGACAAAGCTGGGTACGTATTGCAGTTGCTGGTTTGGTCTGGGCAGAAAACTTAGCTGTAAACTTGGATTTGAAAGCTCTGCTTCGGGGCCGGGCGGTGGTGGCGCACGCCTTTAATCCCAGCACTTGGGAGGCAGAGGCAGGCAAATCTCTGTGAGTTCGAGGCCAGCCTGGTCTACAAGAGCTAGTTCCAGGACAGCCTCCAAAGCCACAGAAAAACTGTCTTGAAAAAACAAAAACAAAAAAAACAAAACAAAAAAAAAGCTCTGCTTCAAGAATCTGGGCCAACTGCCTGCTGCTAGCAGGGAAAGTAGTCAGTCAAAAGATGTGAGCTTGAACATGTTAACGATTAGCGCCAACATTAAGGTCAACTATAAAAATGAATGCCCTGTGCTGTTACTGAAAACTCAATGGTTGTCTTTTCTCTTTAGCCTGAGTCATTGGTACAAAAGACTGGATATACCCTGGAAAGTCTTAAACCTTGTCTCATGGACCTTCACCAGACCTACCTCAGAGCAGCACAGCATACCCAACAGTCAATAAGGGAAAAGTACAAACATTCAAAGTAAGAATCAGATTCTCATTCATTAAAGGGTATGGTAATCTGCCACAGCTGCCTCAGTAGGATAGTAAATCATGTGTTAGAAGATGTTGTACATGGCATTTGCCCCCTTTCATCTGGTAGGGGATGGGTAAGGGAATACATGTTCTAAGTCTATTCAAATAGAAATGGCCATTTCTCCAGGCTGGGGCACATAAACTGTTCTGTGATCGCCCCAATGAATATTTACTAAAAAAATTTTTTTCTCCTCAACAGATACCATGGTGTTTCTCTTCTCAACCCACCAGAGACACTAAATGTGTAAGAATGAAAGACTACCTTTGTTTAAAATGGGAGTCACTCAGAGTTCACAATGTACAGTTTTTGTCTTGGGTTTTAATTTCACAAATCATTTCACAATGTAGATGGTATAGCCACAGACAAATTATGGTATCCATTGCTTTTTAAATGGTTTTAATTTGTATATCTTTTGTACATGTGTCTATCTTAGATATTTGGCTAATTTTAATTGGTTTGTTAACATTTGGTGCTACCAACTGTCAGGATAATAAGAATAAATTGATTTGGAAATCTTTGCAAGTCAAAGTTAATTTGAGATAATGACTGATAATGTCACTTAGAAAGGCTAACTTGGGTTTATTGTTCAGTGGGGGTAGAAAGAGCTTCCTAAAGGAAATATTTCAGGGAAACTGACATTGATTATTCTAAGCAACTGAACCAAATTGCTGACTTGGTCATGAAATAAGCAAAACTAGACTCTTCAGGGTTGCAGAGATTCCCCAGACACATTGAGCTCTACTTATTTTATCAACTTTTACAAATAAAATTTTACATGGAAGGAAGATTTTGTGCAACAGAAAAGTTGTACAGAAAGTTTATTCAAAGCATAATGTTAAAGACAAAACAATTTATGAAACAGTTCAGCTCTTATAATGGATTTTCAAATAAAAAATACCCAGGGCTGTTAAAGCACTGAATAAATATCCTTTTAGTAGTTTTATATACAAAACATCACTTTAGCTTTAATTAGCAGTTCTCTTCTTTCTCCTCCTTTTCACTTGGCTTCTACTTGGTGCCTTTTCTTTTGCACTGGTGGTCTGAGCTCTGTGAAAATAAAGTAATGAATGCCACAACTCAGTGTATGTGCACTGAATCCTGGACCGGATTGCTAGAACTCTGAAGGCATCCTGTTTTATAGACATAGACATTTTTATGTATATTTGAAAGTAACCAGAAATCTGTTACCTTATTTTCTTTGGAGTCTTGTCTGGTTCCAAAATGATCATTTCTTCTTCTTCGCTATCTGACAGCACTATAGGGGCACCTTTAAGAAAATACCCAAAACTTATCAATATCATTAGTCCTAGTGCTCAAGCTCTGCTGCCTGGAGGCAGCATATACAACATACTCTTTCCAAAAATTTTGTAAAAAAGTCATGTTTTCTGTAGTTTTGTTTGTTTTTTTTAAAAGAGAACTCATGTAGGCCAAGACGGTCTAGTTTATTACTACCAGGGCTAACCATGAAAAATGTAGAAAACTTTTGTTTGCCCATATTAATTATATATATGTAAATAAAGCATGCAAATTAATCATTTGCCTATTTTGGCTGGCTGTGTATTCTTTGTCTCAGCATCCTTGTTATCTTAGCTGTCCATTAGCTTTACTAAATCTTAGGAAAATAGATTTATGCACATGATAGTGGGGTGACAACATTATTAAGACAACTGGATACAATGAATGAATGGTAAAGGATTCTATACAGCATTTAATAGACACAATTACTTTAAAACACCCATTAACCGCCAGGCAGTGGCGCACGCCTTTAATCCCAGCACTCGGGAGGCAGAGGCAGGTGGATCTCTGAGTTCGAGGCCGGGCTGGACCGATAGCCTCCCAAACAATACAGAGAAACCCTGTCTCGTAAAAACAAAACAAAAAGACCATTAACCTAATTAAACCAACATTGTCAAAACAAAGACCAAGTCTATAAGCATTCTCTTCCATGAAGACAGGTAGAATGTGCATTAGTTCAGAGTGCATACTGCTCTGGTAAAGAGCCTGAGTTCAGTTCCCAGCACCCACATATGGAACTCCAGCAAATTCTCTGACATCCATATGCATACAGTTTCTCAGACAAGCCACATTTCAGATGTTCAATACGTAAACGGTGGCTGCTATCCTATGCAGTGCACATAAAAGAACATTACTTAACACAGAAGATTATTAGTTTTGTGTGCAACTGTAAGTACACATGTGTGCTGGTCTCCAGAGACTAGAAGATGGGGTTGGTTCCCTTGGAGCTGGAATATAGAGGATTGTGAACCATCCAATGTGAGTACTGGGATCCAGACTCGCCCACATCATGAGCTTTTTGTTGAGTCAACCTATACAAGATAGCTTGCAAGGATGAGATCTTAAGGAAAGCCCTTCAAAACCCATGGATAGACTCTTGTTTGTCTGAGACAAGATCTCTAGTTTTTGGTGTCCCAAAACTCCCTATTTAGAACAAATATCCTCCTGCCTGTGTCTCCTCGGTGCTGAGATTAAAGGTGTATGTCACACCTATCCCTATGTAATTTTTTTGTTTAAAAATATCACTATTGCCAGGCAGTGGTGGTGCACGCCTTTAATCACAGCACTCAGGAAGCAGAGGCAAGCGGATCTCTTGAGTTCGAGACCCCCATGGTATAGTTCTAGGACAGGCTCCAAAGCTACATGGAGAAACCCTGTCTTGGAAAATATATATAACACTATCACTTACATGCCAAAGCATACCACTAAATCCCCGAGATAGCCATCCAAGACAGGAAATACCCCTATATATGATCTACAATTTCCATACAGATACCTCTTTACACAAATATATATGTTTTAGCTATAGTTTATCTATAATATATATATATATAGTTTATATCTGTAGCTGTCTCTATAGTACACATTAAAAGCCAAAAGCATCACCTACCTTGGTTTCCAGTATCAGAAACTCCTCCAGTGTCCATCTTTGTATCATCAAGAATAACAGCTTCATCAATGCCACCTTCCTCCTCTTCCTTCTCAGAATCTTCAAGGCCACCCCAGGAGTTTTCTATTCCATCTCCAATTTGGGCAGTTCCAGGAGTCCACAGCACAGGTTTTGAAACACTTAACAAGTTAAGAAAACTGAATATCCAAAGTACTACTATCTCAGCTATTTTAATACTGCGTCATATGTTCCACAAATTCTTAGGAATAAAATAAAACTACTACAGATGGATAACATAATTGGACATCACCAATAATGAATAACTTCAAGATTATGTAATACCATGTAAGGATCTTGGCCATGTTATCAGTATTGAAGTAGTTTCTGAAAGGGAAATGAATGCTGTAATTTGTTTGTATTTTCTTACAGTACTAGAATGGAACCCAGTGCCTTATACATAGCTAGAAAAGTGCAGTACCAACGAGCTACATCCCCCAGCTCTAAGCTGGTTCTTAAGCAAGAAAAATGTATGTTTTTTAGAGATAACTGACAGAAGCTAGATGCTACATTATCAATTTAATATGGCATATTTATCTCGTAAGTATGATTTCCCCAAAAACAAATTTCAATATGCACATTATATGACCTTGATTAAAAAAAAGTTATGCATCTTGTTACTGTAAAAAACTACCTCATAAAGATACACTTCTGGAGGAGGTTCGGCTTCAGCAATAATTTCTTCTGCTTTCTCCTCTATGTTGGAGGTATCAACAGAGGCCTTCTCCATTTTAAACGCTGTGATCCTTTGATTTGCTATAGACTCTGCAAAGCCAAACTTGCCACCTTCTTTCCTGTAGGTGGGTTTTGATAATGGTGTTTGGAGATGACAGTAAGAAAAGAGGGAAAAAAATTACTATTTTGGCTTTGGTAAATAGGAAACAGACTTGCTTAACTTCACTTGTTCTCAATAGCTTTAACGGTTAAAAAAAGAGGCCAGAGAAAGGAGACTGGCGTATCTGTGGAGGAGTATCTTGATTGTTAATTGGTGAATGAGGCAGGTGTTCCTGTGCTACATCAGAAATGTAGCTAAGCAGGAGCCTGTGAGCCAGCAATCAGCGTTCCTCTGGTTTCTGCTGTACTCCCTCAGCTCGGAGTGAGTTCCCTGATTAGAGGTAATACTACATGAACTAGCAAGGAGGCCTGCCTGCCTCCAGGTTCCTCACTGGTGAACTGTGATCTGGAAGTGCAAGCCAAATAAATCCTTCCCTCCCCCTAAGTTTCTTTGTGTGTGTGTGTGTGTGTGTGTGTGTGTGTGTGTGTGTGTGTGTGTGTGTGTGTGTGTGTGTGTGTGTACTAGCATAGTTATCAAGACAGATGTCGCCATAATTACTGAACCTCTGCTGCATATGTGCTAGGTACCTGAAGTATATTCCCTAAGCTTCAAGTCAGCTATATCAGACAGATGGCACCAGCCTCCACAAGACAAGTAAGTACACTGAAATGCTAGGTACTTGTTGCTTAAGGTAACATGAAGAGGAGCTATGAACCTGCCTGTTTATTGCTTCTACTAATTTGAGTTAGTGGATTCTTTTTTATAAGAACATGTTAACTTTTAAAGAAAACACTTCTATGACTTTTTAGAATAAAATCTCAACTAAGTACTAGTATATACAACTGAGATTCATTAAATAAAGACCAAGTATGAAACTATATGGCTGCCCTTGTGTGACAAAAGCCCTGCCATATACAACTGAGATTAAGTAAAGACAAAGTATGAAATTATAGGGCTGCCCTTGTGTGACAAAAGCAAGCCCTTAGAAACATGCATTTAAAGAGCATATAGTTCTGAGAAATTAAACTTACCTAACTTTCTGGTCATTTTCCAAAGCTTTCTGTATTAGCTCTGTGATTTCTGCTACTTTCACACCAGCTATTTTACTGCATCTCAAAACCTGTTTGTAAATTTGAGCTGTTAAAGACAACAAACTAAATGGCTTTTTCTAATGAAACCAAAACCATGACATGAATATTCTACCTTTACAATTTAAGCATTTCTTTTCCAAATGTGAGAGAGGCACAGTAAGTAGCTAAGACAAAATAAGAAAATTACTTTAACTTTTGAGGGTCTAGCACATTAAGGGAACAAACTTGAGAACTTTCTTATGTAACAGCTAAGCTACCAGAGACAACAAAATGCTCAGGAATACAGACTTCCTTTCTGTGCCAGTAATCCACCGAAACAAAAATCTATCGTGGTTGCAATTCTAGCACCAAAGGTGCTGGTGACAATAATGCAAAGTAACATTCACCGAGCAGTCTGTGTCCCAGATACCTATAATCTGCCTACACATTTACCCTTCAATCCATTCTATGGCACCAGCAATAGAACCATCCCCTAATGTACAGGACAATGAACAGAGATCCAGAAGTAAGTCATTTGCCCAAAGGCTATAAATATCAGTTAAAACTGGAACTAAAACTGTTCCCTGTACATAATTAGTGCTTGCAATGCTACATGGCACTCTATTTTCTGATTGCCTCTGTGTGGATCTGGTATGTGGCTGGGTTTGAGTATCATTGTTAGTTGTATTCACATTCCAAAACTAAAACTAAGCTTTCTCTTAATGTATACATTTAATACTTTAATTTCAGCACTCAGGAGGTAGAGGCAGGGGAATCTGAGTTCCAGGCCACTCTAGTCTACAAAGTTCCAGGACAGCCAGGGTTGTTACACAGAGAAACCCTGTCTCAAAAAACAAAACAAACAAAAAAGGATAATTTTAAAACAAATGAAGTAACAATAAATCTTCTGAAGAGAGACCTCTTAGAGGGAAGCTAGTCAAAGCACTAACCTGGTCTTTGAGCAGCATTATCCCACCACTAGACTGAATAGTACAAATTTCTCGATGCTTATTCATGGCAATCACCAGCAAGCCATCCATTACTCGCTCTTCTCGTTCATTGGGGTCCACCAATAAATATGTTCTGAAACAAATGTTAAATTGTCCTGAACACACATGAAGCTGAGTGCTGTTTCTAAACAGAGTGGGTTTGTTAAAGTTTGCATCCAAAGTCAATACTTCAGCACTGAAGGAGTCACTTTAACTCAATGATTTCAATTACGAGGAATGTATGCTTCTCTGGCCATTACAATGAAACCACACTAGGTTCAGACTGAAATTCAAATGACATATAATCCAATACTCATACCTTCTCTTTGATAAAATGATTTCTGGCTCATTTATAGATAGATAACATTAATTTGGTTCATTTTCAAATGGCACCAAGACCCTGTGCTCTCAAGTTCTAGAACCTGTAGATGGCACAGAAAAGGCTGCCTGTTTCTGCAGTGTCCTCTGCTGGCAGATACACATGGGCACTGAGCTCTACTCCAACTATGGGTATAAAATACTCAGTACAAATAGAAGAATGTAAAATCTTGAATAATTTTTAAAATACTGGTATATAATAAAATGAAATATTTTTCATCTATAAGGTTAAGAGAGGTATAAAAAGTTTTTAACTTGTTTTCATTAAGGACCCCACTACATTTCTGAGTTTTGCCTAGAGTGTGCTATGGAGCCCAGGCTGGCCTGAAAGCCACTGAGCTTTTCTTCCTGTCTCAGCCTCCCCAGTTTCTGGTTTTCACACTTGCTATGTTTCTCTCACCTTTTAATGCGACTACTGGAGATTGTAAGTTACTTTTATGGCATATACATTTTACTTACTAGATAATGCTGGTCCATTATCGAATTAGCTTCGATGACTAAAAAATCCTTACAAAGACAGGAAGAAACCAATAGATGCTGTAACATTAAGGTGTATCAGATCAAAGCAATAAAGATGCTGAGCTGGAAGAGTGTTACACACAGCATGCACAAAGCCCTGAGCTCAATCCCCAGCACCATGGAAACCAGGCATGACAGTACATGCCTGTCATGCCAGCACATGGGAAGCAGCGCTGGAGGATCAGAAGTTCAAGGGCAACTCAGCTATATGGAACCATCATGAGACGTGAGACCGTTTCAATAAACAGAATCTGATTCCTAGTATGCTTGCGTGTTCAGCCCATGACAAGGTGACACTTACCCTTGCTGGAAGAAAGCAAAACTGATACAGATGGGCATGTGGTGGATGCTCAGCGGCACAGGGTCGCGCTCTTCGGGGGTGTACTGTTTCAGAAGAAAAGGTCAGATTCTTACAGTCAGCATGAGAGAGACACAAGAGTACTTTGAGACCAAACACTAAGAAATGAAATTCTTAATTATGAGTAGCTAAATGTCTTTTATAATTGCTTATGACTTTGGCAACTGTGTTCGTATTTTAGGATGATAAAACACTGGTCTTATGTCTGATCTTCTATCCCAAATGCCTTTTTAGTAAGGTGTATGTCCACTATTACACAAGAAACCTTGAACTTCTCAGAATAGGATCTACCTCCATGTAAAACTAATCTCAATCTCTCTCTCTCTCTCTCTCCTCTCCCCCCCCCTTCCAGTCTTCAGATTTTCCTCTGACAAAGCGCCTCAAAACAGCTTTATGAAAGCTTGAGCATTCCCTTTGCACTTCAACGGATACTTCATTATTCCAGCATGTAATATATATGAATCAAAATTGACCTACCTGCAGAAAGAGGACAGCACAGAGCACTGGTTCTCACAATGATCCCTGGACGAGCACTGGGACCGTCTGGGCACTCTGAGTTAGAGGTATAAGTTCTTAGGTCCTATCTCTACCCTGCTCTATAAGCAGAGCCTAGCAGTATGTTGTTACTAAGCCCTCCAGGCACTTCTGATCCACTTGTGTCATATACTTGGCTTAATGAACGAAAGGACTAAAGAACACATATAAATCTGGTGAACCTCAGTCTTTTTCAGGTACTGTTGGTCTCTCAAAACTAAATATCTCATGCTGACCCTAAACAGACACTAATCATTTCCTCTAGTAGACAATCCAAAGAAAGGGTCATGGTTCTATTTCAGAAAACCAACCTGGGTTATTATATTATTGACAGACATTTTTGTAAGGGAACTGGAAATTTCAAGTGCAATTTTGAACATCTGCAGGTTTATGAACAAATACTAGGACAGATCTAAATACCATCTGCCACATGCCTCCACTAATAACTGCCTGTCTCACATCCAGGACACCATTTGTTCATAAAAACAATTCCAGTTTGCATCCTGGAAGCTTACCAATGTTACTTCCTCTCCTTGGACAGAGACGTCAGGTCTTCGGAAGTGACACAAGGCTACGATTGCAGCAATGCTGGCGGCATCAATAATATTTCCATCATGATTTAATAAATGTAGGTCTACACGGATCTGCCAAACCTGAAAGTGAATTGAAGACAAAAATAAATCCTACCTGAGCATGACCAGTGGCTACTGGAAAGTAACACTGCACAGTTTTTTTAAATTAAAGCGTGCAGTTAATCCTTCCAGTTTATCCAGTAAAAATGCATTTAATTTTAAGAAAAACAAATACTTGAAATACCAATAGTTAACTTTTCTATGTGAGTCATTTGAGGACATGACAATATGTAAATAAATGGAATCACTCCAACATTTAAAACCTCATTATGTTTTTTAAAAAATGTCCATTTTCATTTTACATGTGTGTACGTTTGCTTGTATGTATGTGCCGCACTCATGCCTGGTGCCCCCAAAGACCTTAAGTGTTAGCTTCTGGTCACAGGTGGTTGTGACTGACATGTAAGCGTTGGAGCTGAAACCAGATCTTCTGAAAGAGCAACCAGTGCTCTTAACCACTGACCCATCTCTCCAGTCACCCTAATGCTGTCTGAATCAGCAGTAGCCATTGTTAAAAGTTTGGGACATATTTCCCACCTTTTCACCAGCAACAACACAGAGAGATTCAGTGTCTATACACTTTGAATTTCTTAGACACCTTTCCAAGAGTCGATTCAGCTTCACCAGGAGATCTGACTGCCTTTGGAAACAAGAATGAACTGATGTCATGAACTCTGAGCATTAACAACAGTTTACTGTGGCTAACGGAGCTTAAGAAAGCGAGATACCTGCCGGGTTCAAAAGCCGGAGCAGCCATTTGAGAAAGTTCAAGGTTAAAAAACAGAATGCCTTCTGTTGCTCTATTGAGTTTTGGAGAAACAAGTTCACAGGAAACCTGTCCAAGAACTCTGCAAAAATAAAGGTACAAAGCAGTCAACTAAACATACTTCTCTTTTAATTAAAAAGAAAAAAATGAAATGTAAAACAGAAAAAACAATTCTAAGTAACAACACAATGTGACTTAGGAGGCAGAAATTACATACAGAATGTGGTAGACTGGGACCAGCAGAGATGCCTCCACACACAAACCGTGCACACACACACAATAAAATGTTTAGATGTAAGAGTTCATGCAGAAAAAAAAATACCCAAAAGGATAGCAGGAAGGAAATGAGAGACATGCAGGTAACAAATTCTGTGATAGATGTCAGCTGCCTACATGATTTATAAAGATCACGAGAAACTATGATATTCATATAGCAGAAAGCACTCGTGGTTAAAAGTGTGACCAGAAAACTAAAAAGGCTTACATTAAAGAAACACAGTTCTCATCAGATAATAATCAGATTTTTGAGTTGCCCCCTAAAAACTGGGTCAGTATATAATTTTCACATCTCCTGTGGCATTATCTAATTGTTTCGTGTTACCTTGTTTTCCCAAGTTCTACAATACAGCATCCATAATCCGTTCCGAATGAGATCCTGATGTTCCTGTAATCATAGGTTTGTCTGCCATCCAGCCTCTGTAAGCAAACATCATTTATTCCTTTAACCTTTTAAGAGCAGCAACTGTGTCTGTCTGGTCCTGGGCCCCAACACCCCTGGTAATAACAAATGCTGGTGGCCTGAGACTCACGGGAACTTTTCCAGGATAAAATAATTGACCTGAGGCTGGGGGAATGGGCAGAGTTCACACTGGGAACGACCCCGAGTCCACACCACGACCACACCAAACTGACAGTGACTCCACGGGCTACCGGAGTCCACGCCGCAGGCAACCCGAGTCTACACCCAAAGCCACGGAGACCTCGCACCTTCTTTTCCTCGATGGCGCGGAGCAGGAAGCGGCGCTCGCAGTTGGAGAGCGGCGTTTCCTTCATGGTGTTGGCCACGCAGGGGAAGAACAGTACTGAGAAAACTCAGCACGCCAGCTTCTTCCCGGCGTGGAAAATCGACGTCACTCAGGCGCCGGCGCGCGGAGCGCGGTGTGGGCGGGGCTAGAGGTCGCGGACCGCTGCCGCGGGGAGGGGCTGCGCTGATTTTCTTTCCGAAGCTGGCGGCTGAACTCAGGAACGTGTTGGAGAAAGAATCGCGTCTGCAGCACAGTCCTGTTCCTGCGTGTCCCTGGCTAACCTGGAACTCTACAGGGGGTTGGGGGATAGCAAGCAGGGCTTTCCCCCAGCTCTTGGCTCTGGCTTCTACCAGCTGGCCTAGAAACTTCGTTTACTGTCTGCTTTTTATTCGAAGTCGCCAGGCTTATTTTTGCCTACGCAAACGTGTTCTCCATCTGGTGGCCAGTGCCCTGGTCTACCCATATCAAGAGATGGTATTTGCCAGCTTGGGTAACAGTGAACGGCAGTGCCCAGTCCCCGTTCCTACTTTTTTTTTTTTTTAAATGATAGTACCTATATATCACTGGTTGTACTGGAACTAACAGATCCTCCTATGCCTACGAGACATAACAACTCTTGAATGGGCCTGGGAAGTAGGGATTTCCCCGGATCTTAGCCAGCTACTGGAGTCCAGGCTGACCTTCTTACTGGAATTACACATCATTTTAGAGCAAACCGTGCTACAGCTCTTGGTTCCAGGTCAGAGACCTTGGCCCCAAAGACTTGACAACTCTGATGCTTTCCAGTTATCAGGCCTGCAGTTTCTAGTCTTGCTCTCTGTTCTCTCTGGCCGTGCTTTACCGTGCTGCCTCGCTTCCAGCCCAGGCTGCTTTTGAACTGCCCAGCTGCCCGCCATTGTCTCCGCTTGGCCGCCAGACAGCACAGCTGTGTCTGCTGTCACAGCTGCTTTTCATGTTGCCCCCTCAGTTCACAGAACAGAAAGACAAGAGCGCTTGAGAGAAAACTTTTATTGGGTCAGATGCTCCAAAACCAGAGAAGACAGCACAGGATAGTGTCTTCCAGGCAACTCACTAAGTGATCCCGAGCCTGCATCTTTTACTTGTTTGTTTGTTTGTTTGTTTGCTTGTTTTGTTTTTGGTGTGTTTTTTTCCTTTTTGTCAGAAACATAACGGTTTAATTATGGAAAATAAAGAATTTAATGTTTTTCTACCATCATCCTGCAACATACTGAATCAATATATCTTTGAATTACATTGTGTTAAAGTGTTTGGCTTAGGGACTGGAAAATGGCTTAGAGTTAAAACACTTGGTCTTTCACAGGTGCTGTGTTACCAAACCCAGCACCCACATGGGGCACTGAACAACTATCTACACCTCCAGCACCTGGAAAGCCTAACCACTCTTCTGGCCTCTTAGGATACTGTGTTCAGCACACATGTATAAACTCACAGACATGCACATATACACAAGCACCTTCATTTTACTAGTATGCAAAATTGCTTTTATCCTTATCATTTAAAGAAGTTTCCTTATTTGTTACATGCTTTATTCACATGCCTAATTTACATACCTATATGCTTGACGTTCCATAAAAGGGTGTAAGGGTGGAAAAAGCTTAAGATGCCCTAATACATAGTTCTCTGGAGTTTGTAACACAATATCTGGCCCCAGCTGTTCCTTACCACCATGACTGACTCCAGGAGACTGGCAACTGGCTGCAATTAGTGTGCAGTGTTCTTGGAACAGCGGTGGAATATTCAGAAGGCTAGTGCTTTTTGTAGAGATACAGCTGACGAACTGACAGCTCTTTTGTTGGGAGAGCAGAGAAAGTCCAACTGCTGCTGAATATTGGGTCATATTGCCCAGCTCCAGTCTCTGCTTATTTATGAAAAAATTAACATCAGAAGGAACACTTACTATAAGAACACTAATAACACTAATAGTGATTTTCAGAGTGCCCCAGAGAGGAGCAGGCCCCCTCATCTACCTCACCGAAACTTTAGTGGTGCTGCAAGGCTTAACACTGGGCTTTGGGGTAGTTGCAATATAAAGTAGTTAAACACAGGAACCCTAAATTATCTGGATTCAAATCACCTCTATTCTTGACTATCTGTGATTCTGGTAAAGTTACTTAGAATATATGCTTTGTAATAGTCTGCAACCTATGAGAAATAAAGATGAGTCAGTATGTGTAGAAAGCTTAGAACAATGCCTGTGGAGAGGAAACACCAAGAAAAATCTTGCATGTTTGTAGGCAGAGTTTACCTGTCCTGATCACCTGTTCCCAAACACCTGGCAGCTACTTCCCAAATTACCACACAGAAGCTTAATATTACTTATAAATGCTTGGCCAGTAGCTCAGGCTTGTTACCAGCTAACTCTTACATTTTAAATTAACCCATATTTCTTATCTATCCTCTGCCACATGGCTTGTGGCTCTACCCATCCTCCAGCATGTCCTGCTTCTTTTGTGGCTCCTGGCCATTCCCTCTGCCACCAGCCTTTTTCCCTGTATCCTCAGTTTGATAATCTGCCTATACAGTTTTGTCTGTCTATTGGCCAATCAGATTTTATTAGCCAATGAGAGTAATACATATTCATACTGTACAAAAAGACTGTTCTGCACCATTTCTCTCTTTGGTCTAATTACAAAAGGAAGGTTTTAACCTTGGAATAGTAAAACTATATATAACAAAAACAGTTATCAGGTAAGAATTATAGCTGCAACATCCAGTCCATTTGTATTTGCCAAAATTAGAGAAAATAATCAGTTATCTATCTCTTCTTGGTGAGTCTAAAGTTTTATTTCTAATTTACTTTCTTTTATAACTAAGGAAAATTATAATGAGTTAGTCTTCAACTCCATCAAAGACCCCAGGATGAAATGTTACCTATTGATAGGAACGTCATGCTGTCTGAACAGTCAGGGCATCCAACTCTGGCATACAGGCCTAGCATATCTGACAGACTTTCCTGTGAATCAGGGAATTCTGAAGGACTGTCTTACCTTGGCTTGGCAAGTTTGGCAGTCACCTTTTTTGTGTCCTGCTAGTCTAGTTTGGACAGTAACTGTCAGCATTTGAGGCAAGGGCAGTTTCTTTTCCCAGGGGCTAGCCTTTGCCATAAAGATAACGAACTCCGCACGGAGTTTCTTCGATGCCCATCATCTTCTCTGAAGCAGACTGGTGCTGTCAGGAACAGACATGTCTCACTATTATAAAAAAAAACCTTATGTTATCAAAACATCCTAAATGGCATATTCTGTAATCTATGAATTATTTGAAGGCTGTCTACTTAAAATATATCTTTGTTTGACCTTAAAAATACATCTAACAAAGCCGGGCGTTGGTGGCGCATGCCTTTAATCCCAGCACTCGGGAGGCAGAGGCAGGTGGATCTTTGTGAGTTTGAGACCAGCCTGGTCTACAGAGCTAGCTCCAGGATAGCCTCCAAGACAATACAGAGAAACCCTGTCTTGAAAAACCAAAAACAAAAACAAAAACAAACTTTAATGTCTTCAGCCATTATATTTCTACACATATGATAGCACTGTAATTTTTTTATGAGACAGGGTTTCTCTGTATTGTTTTGGAGGCTGTTGGTCCAGCCCAGTCTTGAACTCACAGAGATCTGCCTGCCTCTGCCTCCTGAGTGCTGGGATTAAAGGCATGCGTCACCACCCCTGGCTAGCACTGTAACATTTAAAGCTTGTGGGTTTTGAAATACCTAGAACAGAGCTTGCAAAACCAATAGCATTGGGACCCAGGCACATTATGAATAAGTAAAGCTAGCCTTGTGTAGGACAAAAGGATTGTGTGGGAACTGTAATGCCCACACAATGCAAAATGGGTCTAAAGATTCAGACAACAAATAAAATATAAGTTGCTAGTTCATTTGTCCCCCTGAACATTATCCCCATCACTTCAATCCATTAAAATATACTCAGCCTGTTAGAAAAGCTTTTTGCTCCTTTTCACTAGATTTCTGATCCCAAGATCTTCCTATTTATAAACTGCAGAACTTCTTCTGAACAGAATTCATCTTTAAATACAAACTCCTGCCACTTCCTGTTGTGATCTTCTTTTTGGCAGCATCGGCATAGACAGTGATCTAGGTAAAGATACAACCCCCAGATTACATTCCAGACAAAACTGAATCAGAAACTCTAGAGTGAAACTCGGTAGTCTGAATGTTACAGTCCCTGCGTTTGATTCCCTCACAGAGTCTGAAGGTCAGAACTTCTAGATACAACCAGTCTCATGTAGCTCTGGGTGCCCAGTCTGCTGTGTGCACTGTTAGAAGCTTGCAGATTCCCAGAATTGGATGGAATCAGAAAAGCAGGATGGATTTCCTTCTGTGTGGTGGGCAGGGTAATTATTTAAAAAGAAGTGCTTTCCTGAAAGTGTTTCCAAGCCATTCTTCATTCACATTTTGTGACGTTTGGTTACAACTTCATCTTGAAACATACTTAACATCACAACTTTTTAAATGTTAAGAGCAATTTTAGGTCTTAACTGAAAAGTGCATTCTCCTTCTTCCCTGCCATAGCCCTTCCCCATGGCCAACATCTTCTCCAGTGCTGTATTGATGATCACGAGCCAGCATTTGCTAACTGTCTCATGGCCAACATCTATTCCAGTGCTGTATTGATCAGGAGCCAGCATTTGCCACCTGTCTCTTGGTCAGCATTTCCTCCAGTGCTGTGTTGATAATCAGAAGCCAGCATTTGCTACCTGCCTTACAAATATGTGTGTTACAAAACATAGAGGACTTGTGATTTTCCCATTTGCAAAGCTAGTAAATTGTAGAACCAAGATTCGTAACCATACAGCTTGTTGACAGAGATTCCATTCATAGATATACCTCATTATCTTAAAGACGGGGATTCATTTTCTTTTCTTTTCTTTTTTTTTTTTTTTTTTTTTTTTTTGGTTTTTTACAAGACAGGGTTTCTCTGTATTGTTTTGGAGGCTGTCTGTCCAGCCTGGCCTCGAACTCACAGAGATCCGCCTGCCTCTGCCTCCCGAGTGCTGGGATTAAAGGCATGCGCCACCACCGCCTGGCAAGACAGGGATCTGTTTTCTACCAAGCATGTCTTGGCTAGTTTTATATCAACTTG